CTAATGAATTTTTAAATAAATTAACATATTCACTAGTGTTACCTTGTCTATATTATTAATAAAATTATCTGGAAACTTTTAACCTCTAATTGAATTAATGATTTACTATTTATCACACTAAAATCGAGTATTTCATGAATACTATTATGTTTATTAATGTAACTATAATATTAAATCATTTTTGAAACATGCCCAACAATTTTAGTATAATAGTTTTGATGACTATTCATGAACTTTTAGGCGAAGATTTATCAAATCTTTAATTATGTCTTAAAAAATCATTTTAAAATGTCCATAAAAAAAATTTACAATGCTATTTTCCGAAAAATGAGTATAAATATATTTCTAAAATTAAATTCACATATAACAACAATAGTGGTTTACATTAAATTTTAGAAATCGTGTGCTAAAACCAGCCATGAAATGTATATTAGAGACGCCGAAAGGACATAATGTGGTTTTTGGGGCAATCTTGTTTTAAGGGATTCTTTATTTATAATATCGTGTAAGCTTTTATTTACCAATGTTATGGACTTCAAAGTGTTAGTGCAAATTGTTACATTTAATGGCTTTTTGGCTTTTCGAATAAGACGGCACATAAGTCGACAAACGATATCTATGTTGACCTAGAATCACGAGAAGCAACTATGGCAGTGTGTTTTAGTGTACAAAAGAAGAAGAGGAATATTGTAAATCGATTTTGCAGTCGTCGCGCCGCTGTGGCCTCGGATCCGTCTGCTCGGCGCCTCTTTGCGCGGTCGCCCTCAATTTGCTCGGGTTTGCTCCCCTATGGGTTTCTTCTTCGTAGGGTTTATGATCTGTAAAATTTTCTATTTTGATAAATTGTTCTATAAATTTTTGTCTAGTAGTGAACTACTAGACAAGAGGGATTTGATTATTGGATTATTGCACAATTCATATATTTTTCAAGTTTTATGTGAATAATTTCAAATTAATTTTTACATGGTTTGTCGAATTAAGAATTGGATAAATTTTTTACTTATAATAAAAAATAGTATATTACTGTACGCCAGAGATAACTATCACAAGTCACAGTTATTTGAATGTGCGTTGATACTATTTTTTAAATGGTTATTCAATGAGTATTTCAAATATAATCTCAACTGAACAAAATGTAATAGTTTATATTACACATAAATCTAAATACATACATCTATATACCTCTGGTGTACTGGTTCATGTATTAACTGTGACTCTGAATTAACGTCCTATTCGTCCTTTGAATCGCGAGTATACGTTAAAAATATCGCTTAATTATATCAAAACGATTTAATTAATATCATTAATGGGATATCGATTTACTAAAAAAAAATACAGCCAGTGACAGCCTCAATATAAAATGTGGCACGCAGTTCACTAAAATAAAATTATAACCGTCATAATTAAAGTCATATTTTGTTATAGGGACTTTACTTGTTATGTAAATTTTAAATTATAATTATTTATAAGTAAACTTAGACTATTAAAATAGATAAAGACGATTATATGCGTCAGGCCTGCTTTTGCTTTACTAATGTTTTTACTCCGATACGCATACTTCAAAAGAAAAATTATTAATTTTATATCATATGACAACTGTTTATTCTATTGATCCGTGTTAAACGTCGTTTCTACATTTCTTGGCTCCAAACGGATGTAACCACCATCTTTTGTTTCCCCTTCTGTACGCATTTTATTTGTTGGTTTTTTTTTTATTATGTCCTGGTATTTATGTAAATTTTTTTTTGCAAAGATTTTTCACTCTTTTGTGTTTGCCTAGTGAACAATGACACGTCCAATTGAGTGCAAAATTTTAATACAGTTGTTGCGTTCGCATGCACTTAATGCGTGTGTGAAAATTTCTCATTCACTTTTTACACCGTGTATTGGTTGTGATAGTAAAAAAATGACCTCAAGTCATATATCATATTTCTATTATACGCGTAACACAAATATCGTGTGTTATTGTTGTTCCGGATTTAGTTTATTGCAATAGATTTTCTTGTGCTATTGATCTGCATAAATCAAAGAGTGTAACGCCATTGTACTAATAACGAGAAATCTCGGGCATGGACATTTTAGAGAAATTTATGCTAACGACAAAGTACTTACTTGCGTTTGTATGTACAATGTTATTTAAATACGTTGTTGTGATAGTCCTGCAGCGACAATCCGGCAATGTTATTTTATTTGAACGTTTGTAAAGTAAAAGTAGAATTAAAAAGTATGGACCGCTGAAATCGACACGTTTTGCCTGTAGGTGTAAAACGTGAGAACAAGAAGCTTGTTAGTATTGTTATTGGCTATTATTGAAATAAGGTCAACCGTCGTCAATTTAAATTGTCGTTGGCTTTATGGTAAACCGTTCGGTGGTTAACCGCTGATCGAGAGAACGTGCTCTTCAACAATAGTCCGTCGCACGCGCGTTGACTTCCGAGCCGCCTACCAGTCATATATTTTTTTAACCTTGTAATTCATTAAGACAGGCCGCGGCCTACCGATTGTTTCACTCTCATTTTCGTTCCGGCTCGGGTAAAAAATTGTCTAATGAACCAGCGGATGTTAACACGAGCTCGCAAGTCAATCATCAGAGCCGTACAGTGTATTTTGTGATGCTACCCGTGACATCATTATACCCGCGCGTTTGAGTTGAGATAGCACCGTACTTTAGGTTCGTTCGTTTAATTATATTATTGACAGTGGTGGTATCCTATAGCACTTTGACACGAGATCCTTCGTGGAGTTCTTTTCCTGAATGCTGTTCTTGCGCGCTCATTGTTACCGTTTATGGCGCTAAAGGCTCTTCGCCCGTACAGGTATGCACACGTCATATCATATTATACACATGGTTGTCGAAGGGAAAAAGAAAGAATGTAAAAAAAAAAAAATTAACCTCGATTTCCTCTGAATACACAAACATTCCAGTACTGCTGACCCACAACCCTCGTCGTAGACTGCAGTTCGGGATCTCTATTGAAAAAATAGTAGTCTTTTGTGCGGAAGACATTAAGATTTATACGACTATTGCCGCTCACAAACACACACACGCACAATTGTCGCCAAGTTATTATTATATTTTTCATTTTGCTCACCCTTAAAGGGGCCGATAATAGCGCGCGGGGTGTCCTCGTACGTCCACCGCTGGCGCTGCACATAACACAAACATACCATAAAAACTGTGAACATAATAATTCATCCAAACTGCCGGCGGAGGAGGTGGGTGTCGGGTTTCTCGCTAGTACACTCGTGCTCAACATTTTTATGCTTGTGTATTCTCCCTCTCTGCGGGACAAGGTATTCGAAAAAATCTTCTAAATTACTTTATTTTCCTTTTAACAAATATAAAAAAACCTTAAATGAAACGTCGTTGAAGATAGTAGAATAAAATAAAACATTTACGTAGAAACATAATTTCCACCGACCGGATGTTGTTCATTGAACGGTCTCGTAACCTTTCAGCTTGTGTACGTTTGAAATTGTTCTACTATTGCACAAATTTGTGTCAATTTATGCTAATCGACTGTTATAATCAAACAAACTCTCCGTTACTATTATTTACGTGGCTATGCCTAAATTATAATTTTTAATTCATTTTATTTCGTTATTTTAAATCGTCTGTATGTACCGCGTAAACCGTAGTGAGCTAGTATTGATTCAACCGCAGTTTGTGAATGACCTGGCTCGGCTTGCCTTTAGGGCGGAGCTGACATTTTAATTAGAAAATCAATCGGATAATAACACAAAGTATATAATTGTTCAGATTATAATTGTCATTTATAGATCTCATTCAAAAACTAGTACTCAAATACGCGGACGACTCGTGTCTTGGGTATATTGTTTAAATGTTCAGTGCGTTGAGTTGTGTTAAAATTTCGAGGTTTGGCTATTATAACAACCTAAGTTGACGAAAATCACGCTCTTATTTTAAATGGTACAATCAACTACACATTACATCAATCGTTTAACGTTCAAAAAAACCAATTTAAAATGTCTACACATGATATATTGAATACCTTAATTATGTGTTAATCTTTATAAATAATCCTACACGATGTTCTAAATCAAGCTTAAGCCACTTGAATCCCTTTTATAGATAACACAAACGGGACACTCGAGTACCGGTCACAATTCGTCTGGAACAAATACTTTCCTAGCGGATGTATTGAATTACACTTGCTAAGCGTTTTATTTAAAGGAAACTGTTTTAGGCCAACATATTTGAGACTTTCGTTAGGAAAATAATTCTACAGTAATGACTATTTTGGATACTAGTCTGTCAGTTCTGCACCTTTGGCTATCCGCCCAATTGTTCTGTTGGTTTTGGTCCGGTCTAACGACCACGAATAATATGTCGACACTCGGGCAATGCATAATCAACAAAGTTGTCGTAAACCCCAAAGTAATCGAAAAAGGCCGTTGACACGGTCGTTGAAAGATATTAATTTCATTTGTCAGATATTCTTTGCGTCCACTTCGGCTTATTCAAACCACGCACCGCGTAGTTTATGGTGACTTCCAAAATATGTCATACGATACTTCATAATTCAACTTGTTGTTATGAGTTAATCCAGAGATTTAGGGTATTATTTTTGGGGTTGTTATTTTGATATTTCAATGCGCGAACAATTACGTTTGTAACTTCTTGAATTAAAAACCGATGTCAGTTTTCAATACAAATGTCGTATTATAGAAACACTTGTGATGGATAAACTCGGGTTAAAATGTAAACTTTTTTCTTTGCGGACCAATACCGATGATAGATTACAATAAAATTGCATAAATAACTTTTGAGCGATGGAGTTTTTGGCGATTTTCCAGTGAACCGTACGCGTATGAGTGTATAATTTCCTGTTTGTTTTTAAATGTGTTGATGATAATTACCACAACGAATCGTGATGACAGTGTTTAATAAACTGTTTTCATGTATGCCTTATTTATTAATAATGTTTTTCTATTTTCGATTTAATTTAACGTTATTGTTTTTTATTTTTAATTTGCAGGAACTAATTTAAAAGTGTGCCAGTCGCGGCAAACCTGTTGTGATCCAGCCACCGAAACCAGGCTGATGGATATGGTGGACGAAGAGTACAAGAGACACCTGGCAGCACATGCCGGGTACGTTAACGATCTGCTCAGCTCCACCGCCCATCACTTACAAGGTAAACATTAAACACCGGCACGACCGCAACTATTAAGAATATTGTTACTTTGGGCTGTCTTGGGGGACGTGTGCTCCCGCTGACCATCGTTGTCTCTCCGCATGTTGCGCGCCAGTTATCAAATCGGCGGCTTGTTATTATAATCGTGTGTACGGTTTGCTGGGGGGCGGTCTTAAGAGTCGTAAAAGAGGCCACCGTGACTGGTCATGAGAATTTTTCTCTGTGGTTATTATAATAATTTTACGGGTAAATCGGAAAAATAATAAAATTTGTCGGCCGATTCATGAATGGAATCGTAAAAACGTTGTAATGTATGGCACTGCTATGCCAGACAATTATATGAAAGCGTTTAAAGTCTTTGAAAGGGGTGCCTGAAGTCCGTCACAATGTAGCGATAACATCATAATTATACTATCCATCATGTTACATTACGATGCAATTTGTACATCTCATAAAGGTAGCTTAAAAATTGACAACTTATTTTCTTAAAATTGAAATTCTGTTCATTTTGTTAAGTGCTGTTTTGGCAAACGCGTGTGCTAGCTAGACGAATCTATTTTTAATGCTTTTTTGGATAGCTAGTAATTCAATTTGTTTTATCTTAACTGATATTTGAACATCACCAGTAAACGAGAATTTTGACATACCATAGATTAATAAAAAAATTGACTTATCGTTTTTGTGATTTTATATTGCTTTTATTCCTAGCGGGCTATGTACTTACAATAGTAGTTTTACTAAAATAAAATAATGTAATTAAAAAAAAACATTTTCTATTTAGTTGTTTTCGTCGCACCAGTTTTTGAGTTAAAAGCTTTACTCACAAATGATAACAATAGTTTAAGACATCCACTTGTTTTTCAATTGATGTTCGTGTTGAAGTAGTAAATTTTTTTTGTCAACCATTCGTTCACGATTACATCACCATCTATAATCTTATAAGGATACCATTATACCCTCTTTAAATGTAATTCGGTTTACGTCATTTCCGTTTTCATTTTCTTTGTCCGAACAAACTTAACATTCGGCAACACGATGAACATTAAATGAATACCAAAAGCTTTGCAGTGAGTCATGCGACGTGCATTCATAAATCCGTCTACGTTTTTAATTACATTTGCTGTTTTTAGTAGCTCAACAATTTCAGCTAACTAGCCACCACCGTACAATAGGGCCAAAATATAATATAGATGTACTCACGCGTGTGTGTAAACACCGTTAACCCAATTAAGGGCGAATTCATTCACTATCCTAATTGGCGTCGTTGGTAAACTCTGACGATCTTTCTAATACTTGCGTTTCGGAATGAATCACTCTACTAAAAATGATAATATCATTAACTCGATCGACATTTTTAGGGTTAAAATTTCTTCTACGTGCTAATCGAAATGGGCCCTCTCAATCCTTTTAGCTAAATAATAATAGTTGATTTATTTTTTTCATATAGTGAATAGCACGAACTCAAAATAACAATTACGGTGCTGTACGCGATCATACTTAGATTATTATAATCCTTCCCTTACGGCAAACCGTTTGAGAATTCAAAAAATATTTTTCGTTACCAATTTTCGTAGATAACTACCGCAATACTAATAACAATAACAACCCTAAAACTACAACGGGTGTTATTATTATTGTTTTTGGCGTGTGAACCGCCTTGAGCTCGGAATGTCTTTGTAAAATGACAGTTTACCCTAACCAAATTTAACACATAGAAAACAATTTAATAACCACTTACTATATCGATAACCTCATCTTCGAGGGATGTTTGTGCATGTGTGCGCAGTGACGTACCTGGCTCGTGCACGCACACCTCGGATATATAATATAATAATAACAGACAACCCTAAAAAATTCAATGTTTTTTTACTTACAATTACTTAGGCTTGTGGTCTAGGGGTGTATTTCAAAATAAAAACGATGATTACCACCACCTACAGCTGAAAGAGAAACGACGTGAAAACTGTATAAAGCGGTGGCCAGCGCGTTCTTGTCAGCTCATTTTCACGCGCTGTGTATGACCGGTTTTGGCGCAACCGTTTCGCTGCTGACATACCTTAGTCCTGTTTTCCCTGTACGCGCAGACACACGGATCCTATAAATCCTGATGGCCGTGTGTGTATAATATATTGTGTGTATGCGTTTTCACCCAGATTGACGAATGATGGTGGTGAATAAAGTACACATTATACGTTCTTTTCGTCTGTACCGGCTCTCGTCGCATTCCAAAGATCGGACCCCCTCCCGGCCACCACCGCAATGCTCCGGGCTCTACGTCTAACTGCATTCCAGTCCAGATCGGATCCCCATTCAATTGTTTCTTTGGGTTTTTTCTCATTCTGTATCTTTTAATTCCATTCGGTATGTGATACGCCGCTATTATTATTATTATAAAGTGTTTTTTTTTTATCTTTATTCTGTACCGTCATCTCTTATTAAACCTATCCTGGGTCGGTCCTCGTATTAATTTAATGACCGTTTCATCATGTACCGCTGTTATTTTGGCCGTATTATAAATCGGATTATAATTAAAATTAATTCTACTATGACTACCGGTGACTTTTAAATAATCATAATACAAGTAATAATTTCATTACTATATCGCAATTAACATAACCAAGTATAATAAGCCTCCATAAATCTATTAAATAATAAGTGAGAACAATTTTGACCCGCTTCTATCAACATCTGTTTTCTGTTGTTATTCTTCATATTTATATGTGATTTTTTTAAGTCTGATTTTTTTTTTATCTGTGTGTGGTCGTTTAAGGCGAGTTCTAAGGTACTATATGATTACGTTTATGTGTGTTCAACTCATTTAAGAATATTTGTTTTTGTTTGTGTGACTGATTGGTCTTGTTATAATTGCTTTATTATTTGTCTTGCAAAACCTACTTCGTTATTTATTTTTAAAAGAAATATAGGTATTGAGTTTTGTACAATTTTTATGTTATCTTAGTGACAATATAAATACAAGAACCGATGTATTTTGTTATTTTATGAGAATCATTGTTGTTATAATCTTTATTACTATTATTTATTATAAATTGTAGAATATCCATGTATATTGACGTTAACGAGAATAGTTCTCCTCGTTTAGGTTTGTTATTCTTCTTGAAAAATAACTCGTAACCCGTTACTTTCTTAAACCGTATAAACATTGCCCCCGAGATACATCTCATACATTCTATGTAGTAGTAGAGTTCATTGATGAAACACTGAAGAGTGTACCGTACACTTTTGTTTTTTACGTTTTCGGTAGCGTCGTTCATTAATTGAGTGTTTGATTTCACCTACCGATAACTACAGTTACAGCGTCAGATAGTAAAAAAAATTAACCCGAGTATACAATTGTTTCATGTTATTCTATCCTTTCAACAGATCATATGACTCAAATGATACGGAAGTCTAAGAGTAAAACCATTCGAGTTTTGGCAGACGTGTACGTGACCATTGCAGGTCCAGCCACCGATCCCTTAGACATGTTCCACGATCGGTTATCGAGGTACGTGCACGAGGACCCGGAAACCGTACCGGGTGCAAGTTTAGAGGAAGCCGTCTCAAAATTGTTTACCGACCTGTTTCCTGTGGTCTACCGTACGGTAGCTGTGGCATCGGAAAAACAGGACAAAGCCGCTCAGTTTGATGAAGACTATGTGCAGTGCTTAACAGGCAAAGCGTTAGACGTAAAACCATTTGGTGAAGTCCCGACTACGTTAGCCAAGGATATATCCAGGACATTTACTGCCACGAATGTTTTAGTGCATGCTCTCAGGTAGATAAATAGTATAATAATATTTGAAATAATACGTTAAAAAAGAATTTTATGATTTCAATGTTATACGATTACATTGATTTTATATAGATACGGCAGTCAGTTGGTAAATGAAGAACACGCAAAATCTTGGCTGGGTTACGGGAACAGAGATCAATGCATTGCCGCGTTGACCAAGATGAGACAATGTTCGTGGTGTGCCGCAAAAGAAGCAAAACCTTGTCATGGATTGTGCATCAATGTTGTGCGAGGGTGCTTAGCTAGGGAAACTGCTCATCTGGACGCGCCGTGGACTGGCTTTTACGAGGCAATCGATCGATTGGTGTCAGCTATCAACAATGGACAGTCTTCGGTTTGTCTGGAAGACCTGCTGAGATCTTTACACTCTAGGATATCAGAAGCCATTATGTATGCTATGGATCACGCGTCTGAAATACAAAACAACGTAAGTACTCAATTCAGTAGCATCTAGAATCGTTTAAAATATATCGAGTTTGTACGTTGTTCTTTACCACCCAAAAAGAATTTAGGGTATTTTGTGAACGGAAATATGAGTTCTTCCGGTCGACGGTTAGGGAGTTGCAAATACAATTCTGTTTCATAGTTGTCATTATGATTTTCAACATTTGTGAACCAGCTGATCGACAAAAAAAATCACGTGGTAGTTGTGGAGACCTTTTCAGCTGGTTACTAATTAGTAGGATTGTTCGCTGTCATTTACTAGATTTCTTTGAATGGCAGTATTGCACGCGTGCTGCTATAAGCAATTACACCGTGACCAGACAGAGCGACGGTGCGCCTTATAGCGCCACCCGAGATGATCACAAAATGTATATACTTGGGACCAACATACGCTCTCATGTGACTCATCTGAAAGAAATTCTGAACTACCATTGGTCCCAGTCACAAGGAATGCCGATCTGCCGGCACCTTTCACATACAAATACAAACGTGGGCGTGTATACACAAACGCAACCCTTCCGACACTAAACTCGATTTACCATATTTGGACCGGTTTCAACTCGCACACGCTTGCTTCTTCGACTGCGCCTAACAATCCGCATTTGCTTGCTTATACACTTGAGTAGCATCTATTTAACTTGCGCTTACGTACCGAGAAACAGAGAGAGAGAGAGAGAGTTTCTTTAACAATGTTGATTCACACGGACGGAGGGCACAACAAAATAATGTACACAAAGCGAATTCGATCGATTTGTTAGCCGCTAACGAGGTGGAGGCGGCAATAGCATTGCACCAAATAGGTATTAAGTAGTTGCAGGAACCCCGTGGTGTAAAAAAAAAAAATAATAATAATAATAATAACCATAAACCCACCCGATGTTCATAATCGTGAACAACACTGTTTAGATCATCTTAGTCATGGGTTAGCAATTGGGTTTTCGATGCAATTTAGCTGATTCTAGCGAGTTGTTTTTTAATGAACACGCGACGAAAACGTAATCGAATAACTTGTTATGCTCGTGTTATATTTTCCCATCAATATGGTATACGATATATATATATATATATATATTTAAAACCAGATCATTTTAACACAGATATAACGATCATCTTTCATTTTTACATTATTCCTAGGTAACTAAAATAATATCTTTACATGTGCTGATCACGAGGTATTTCATGTGAAATTTGTCACCAATAAAAGTTATCTAGTTGTGAAAAGGTGAAATCCACTTGATCAGCGAATTACGTGGGATAATATATTGATACACTTAAACCACGTTCCTATGTAGTGTTGTAATACGACGGCAAATGTCGTCTATTCTAATAATAAATAAAATATACTGTGGTATTTATGCAGTGTAGTTCATGGTAGTGAATCTCATGTATATTATTCATTTGAAATTATTGAAAGAGTATTTTTTTTTCTTTTAATAATATAACATTTATTATTATTTCTTTGTATTATCGTATGAAAATCAACAATATTGATTTCTTTCACTATTTATAATTCATTCTGTTCAAGAACATAATAACGAGTACTTAAATATTACCTATAACATGTAGTGTTTCGGAAAATCTCGAGAAGAGTAAATACAATCATGATAAAAAATTCTGTGTTGTAATATGAGTGTTAATAAATTTATTTCGTCGAAAAATCAACATAATTATTGTTTGTGCCGAGTACAATGTTATGATAAAAAGAAATGTAATGAGGTTATTAGATGTCCTTAGACATTAAACTGGTATTGAATGTAATACAGCTCTACTTAAAGGCGACAATTTATGTGCACATTTATACAAGTATTTGTACAACGAGATTATTATACGCGTGCAACTGAGTGACGGGGTGGAGATGAACGATGCATTTTTAGCGTTAGTATTTGAACACCAATGATTGGAATGGAATGTCACCGTATAACTGTCGCTGTTGGTTTATTTTTACCGAACATAAAAATCAAAAAAATAAAAACTAATAAAAGAGATACTACACTACATAAATATCACATCGCTTACTGGAAATATTTTATACGAATCCAAGTTGTGACTGTAAATGCCGAGTGTCTGAGAGTTTAATAAATCTGTCACGAGTACATGTAGCCTTAGAGAAGTGTCAAATGTATACAAGTGTCGACGGGCGTGCCAAAAAGAAATAAATATGTAATACAATCTATGCAGACGAGCTTGGACTGAACAATTTTGCAAAAAATTGGACTTGTATGAAACACTAAGAATAAAGTCCCAAAAAAGTGTTGTGTCAACACAAGAAAATTGCTTTAGTTCATCTTATGAATTTATATTTATTTCAAGTTCACTAAATTTCTCAGACAGTTGGGAATAATTTTATGATTGATGATTACACCACCTTCACTGTGAAGCAAATAGTATTCATTTATAGGCGTATACTGTGTGTGTGTGCTCTCAATGTAGATCGATACATTTAATTTTATAGAGTTTCGACTAAACCACAGCGCTTTTATGAGATAATGTTATTAAACGGGTATTATTTCACGAAAAGTTCTTAGAATTCACATTTGGTAGACCGCCAAAATTCCAATAAATATCATGTTTTATTTTTCTTCGAAGGCGCACTTTATTAAGACCACAAAAAAAATATTCCTCCTAAAACAGTTTATTTTTCTACAAATAATTTTTTGTTTTGTTACGATAATCGTTTTTTTTTCTTTTTATGTAGATTAAAATAGAGGATATAAGAAAATTTACTCATTATGTGTTATAGTAAAGAAACATGATTATTTTAAAAGAAAAATTTGTTCTGCGATAAATAAATATACGTAAATGATATACATAATATAATATATCATTTACATATATTATATGTACACTTGTATATTCGCACACCAACGGCTTCTTTGAATATTTATTTGTACAGGAACGGAGTCGAATGATATAAACCTTAGAAATTCGCGTGGGTTCTATTGGTGGTCGGGTAGTGTCCTCTGCGTTCCAAAAGAAACGGTCAAACGATAGGAGGTGATTTCACATATCCGACCACAGAGTTCTGCGGTAAAATCAGATTTCATAAAATACTGCGTTGCGTGCAAGTTGTCGTTGCTCATATCAATGTACATGAAAATCATTACAATATTATTATTTCACAGCGGTCAGCGAAAAAAAAAGCGGACAGACGCGCTGGAAAAATGAAAACGGAGAACCCGCATCCTCGTCGTGGTCCGGCGACATTCTTGCGGACGAATTCCATTTCACTTTGTGTAGTCGAACATAATATTGGAATGCTATTATGCCAATATTTCTCGGTACCAGCGTAAGCTATAGCGCGATGAAAAAGAATAGAGCACAGCCTGGACGTTTGTGAGCACCGCCGGTGATTTTGTCATTGCGGCGATTTCGCCTGTTAGCTTCACACACACAAACCGGCATCGTTTTCTGCGTATTGTGTCTATTGTGACCCAAGTTATTTGGGGGTGTCGTCTCCATGCGTTTTAACAAAAACTTGCAATTAGTGGCAATTGTATTGTATGGGTTTCTTTCCTTCGGAGGGCTATTTAGTCGTCAATCGATTGCGTTTTATATTGTTCATCAAGTTGTATGTAAACTAACTAGGGATTTGCTTATATCCCATTTAAGTATTGTCACTCTCTTCATTTGAGTTTCTTTGTTAGAGAGTAGTGCTTTTTGTTCAACCAATAACATTCGATTATTATGGCGGGTTTAACACGAACATTAAACAAACCCTATTGTCTTACTCTTAACGTCTTGAATTTATTTATTCTTGAACCTATTGAGACTTAAAAAATCAGTTATTGATTTTTTATAAATTGTACTATTTCTCTTGCCGTTTACAATTCTAACTAAACTATAATTCAAATTTTAAACTATAATAAGTTGTATCAATGTAATAAAAAAAAAAATAATCAAGTACTTAATTGATGTGATAAATTGTTGCTGACGAATAATCGTAGCTTTAAAGTGTTAATAAAATAATTTAAAATTTAATTAAATAATCAAGCATAATATAGTGTTTACTACTAATGTAATAATAATTTTTTAAGACTTCCAACTTCGTAGAACTGAATTCTTCATATAAAGTTCATTATGTCAGTGAAGCTCAAATTGAGTGTACGTTTTTCAGTTTGTCATCTTGCAAAACGCTTTTTTTGCGATTCCATCGTTTGCCCGCATACTCGTACACACACCCTTCATGTTATAGCCATTGTGAACAGCGCTTGTTGTTATTGCTATGTGGTGCTATGCATAGACTAAAAACTGATTTGTTTTACGTCCCAACCAGACTAAACAAGCATATGTATAACAGTCGCGCGTAGGTTTTGGAAAAAACGCATACGTTGTCATAGGTCGTGCGGTGAGCGGCTACCATAATAATGTATTCAGTATGGATGCTTGTTTCTTCTGCCTACGTCACTGCAATGCCATTGATTTTGCCGATATCTTCGCTTTATATTCTTTCCGCCACAAAAAAACTANTATAACAGTCGCGCGTAGGTTTTGGAAAAAACGCATACGTTGTCTTAGGTCGTGCGGTGAGCGGCTACCATAATAATGTATTCAGTGTGGATGTTTGTTTCTTCTGCCTACGTCACTGCAATGCCATTGATTTTGCCGATATCTTCGCTTTATATTCTTTCCGCCACAAAAAAACTATTATCGAGCATAAAATTAAATTACCACTAGTTGTGGTTTAACGACAATTACAATGTAAATTCATGACAAGCATTCACAAATTTTTATAACAAATTTAAAAGCCGGAATCACTTTGTTTTGTAAATTACATTAAAAGAATATTTATTTTATCTTAATTGACTTGACCGGATCTCTACACCACACGAACTGATGTAAACAGGTTTATGTATAGGTCGTATGTAATTTTAAATGTCTAATATAAATATATATCTAATAAAAATATTGCAATACCAACACAGTGTTTTCTCAAATACCTGCGATTTTCCAATGTTTAACTTTTTTTTTTTAAGAGTAAGCTTTTTTTTATTCTAAGACAATCTGTTATTATCGTTTAACGTTTGCCAACCTAAAATAAATAAACATATCCATCAAGTTATAAATTATAACGTTCACCGTTGTTACAACATAAAGAAGTCCACTTTAATTCTAATAGTATTATTAATTTAGTTGTGTTAGGTTCTATTTTATGAACTATTAAAATGGTTTTGTCGTCTTAAAGAATACTTATTTTAACCGGATAAACCATTTGATATGTGCGTTATTTCTCAATTTTTTTCTTGTTAATTGTTCTCGTTAATTCATTTATATGTGTTATTGCTATTCCATTAGTATTCCGACAGAGTCTGAAAAGTCTTTTCTTTTAGCTGTATATCAATGTATATGAGACTAATAGTTTTGTTTGTCAATGCTCAACGATTAATTAGGAATAGATAATAAACGTTTTTAAGTCAAAATCAGATAAAAAAAACTCTTGTAACTTTTAATACAATTGTAATTTTATTGAAAATAATTATTGATAATAATTTATTTGACATGAATAATAAAAAATATGGTCTGAATAAAGTCTGTTATGAAAAAAAAAAAATATTTAGATCAAAAGTTATAAACGTGTTGTTGTCATTTAAATATGAAACACTTTACATAGTTGTGCATTTTTAGAATTTTTTTGTTCAAGTAAATTGTTTTTTGTGCAGCTGAAATATCTAGATTTATAAATCATAATTTTACGGATATGTTATATGATACTTTTGTAAATGCATAATAATAGTTGTACAAAGACAAATGCAATGTACAGTGATGTGTACATTAGCGTTTCAATGCGAATGACTCGATGAATACTGTACAAGACTAGAAGGCGAATGTACAGAGGTAATACATGCACAGTTCCTATTAATATGCTGTGTACACTATCGTGTGCATAAATTATAACGTTGACCATCTTTTTTGTTGGATGGCCGACAGGTAAACGAGAATTATTCGGTCGACAGCAATTCCTGTACTCTGCAGAGATGAGAAATAAACGCCCTCGGATATTTTTGGTGTATATGTGTTATTAATTTGCATTGACATTTCCCTAGGCCGGAGGCGGAAGATTATCTTGTCGGAAGATGCGATTTACATCAAGTTAGCATGTACCCAGCGTAGCTATAAGACTACTAAACGAATGTGTCGTCTAAGTATTATATTTCATTTGTGTATAATGTACACGGAACGTGTGTAGTTTATTTTGATAGCATTGCTTGGGTCACTGTGTGTGTAGCGTCACAGCTGTAACATAACAATCAAGATTAATAATTTAAAAAAATATATTTTGTTTTATGTGAATACAAAAAAGTCTATCTACAGTGTTGTTTCACATAAGATTATTTAAAATAAAGTAAATATTTATTGTGTAAAACGGTCAATTTAGTTTCCGTCCTCATAGTTTCAATGAGCTTATGAAAATATAACTCGCCTGTTGTACAAACACATTTTTTATTAAAATTTAGGCATTTTTCCAAGGACACGAATTTGTAGTGTTCGGTAACTTAATAATTTAAAACAATTCACACAGTAGTTTTCAATCGTGTTGCTAGTGATTTGCACCTTTTGAATTGAGGTCAGTTAAGCATTTTAACTTCTGTTGTATCGTTAAAGTGACGGTCATTTTTGGAGCGTCAACTCAGTAAAACGTAATTGCTCATGGCGTTCGATTAGCAAGTAACGATTGGTTAATAAAATTACTAAGTAACATACCTATAAGCTTAACGCGAAGCGGTCCGCCAAAGGAAACGGGTTACATGATAATATGCTTTTAATGTATACTCGTTTAAACGTTTTTTACAAATTATTTTCCGGGCTTATGTACACATAACTAATTATTATCATTATGATAGCAATATATATTATGATCATAACCGTTTTTCCATCTAAATCGATCTCTGTCTGTGTACATATAAAGCGCTTTTCTACCGTCGCAACTGGTCGGGTCTTAAGAAGCGATTTTGTGTTAAAAATCATTGCCAATGGAATTCTTTTATTTTAATTTTCACGCACCCAGTGAACAAGTTATTTTATAAAGCATCGTCTATCAGAACTTAATAGAATACATTTATTTGCATGATGTTATTACGGAGGTACCCGCCGTTTAAATTTTTCGTTTTTTAAGTGTATAGGTCGTTTACGATTTATTATGGTTTGTAATGTTATTAAAAGAATATATAATGTGTTATTTCGTGAATGCAATCGTTTCCGAGGCACTTCCAACGTCATGTCTCAACGGAAAAAAGGATTAATAACTTCCCACGAGAACCGATGACTGGGAGGAGGAGTAGAAAGAGGCGGTGTCGGCGGCTCTCCATTGACCATCATCAAACGACTGCGGCGGCGCCCCAAATTCTCTTATTGACAATCGTCTCTTTTTCTTTATCTATTTCATTACTCTTATACAACATGCATGTGGTTACTCGGCAGTCCCCATGCAGTGCCCCAAGGTCCCGATCGGATGTGAACTAGCCGCATACTCGTTCAGACATGTCGGAGACCCCGACTCGGAGTGTTTCATTGTTATCCGCCGTTTCGTTTATTATTATTTTTTTGTTACAACTTCTACATTAGTCGCCGCTCTCATTGTTTTCAATTTTAAGTCACGAGAGGTATTTCCCTCTTCGTTCATAATGTATTATATATGGTGTGCATACTCGATAGGTATAGAGTAGATGCTTTTAATGTGTGTGTGTGTGTTGGTACGAGGAGTCATCGAGACGGAATCCGCGTATCAAAGAAAAACAATGAAATCTCACATCGTCCGCCAACGATGACGCCTCCTACGCCATCCGTGCAATCTTCCCTTAGTGATCTATTACTCAATACGACCGTCTGTAAGTCAAATGTTATAGTTGAGTGTCGTTGTTTTATCGCTCGAGTCATTTCCCGCACCCTGCACCGTGTGGCTTGACATCGGCTGCCTCCCACTTAAATGGGTTGCATTCCTACATGACTTTGTCTTAACTACAATATTATTGCTAACAATCTTTGATCGGTCATAGTTTTTGTTTTTGTGGCAGTCCTATCGCCAGTACTCGACGGAAACGTGACGACAGCGAATTTGTTCGATTAGAATTGTTCGTGCAAATGTGACACATACTTAGCGTTGTAAAATCAAAAATAATTTGCGACCGCTGCTGGCGATGATAAAAACTGTTGTTCATATGAATTTATTGTCCAACGTGTCACATATGTAATACCGTGCCAAGTAATAGTATTATAAGATACAGTATTGGCGTACTTGTCGAGCATATCAGTCATAGGAACGCTCCATTTGTTAATAGTTGGACAACTTGACAAGTATACGAGTATTAATGTACTCTATAAGAATACTAGTTGTGAGATTCCGGGTTAAAAAAAAATAATGACACTTTGATTTGTGTAACCGTAACTATATGCTAATTATAAATGACCACTTCGGTTGTTATTTTGAATCTAGTAAAATACTTGATGAATTCAGATTCATTTCATTGTAGTTGTAATTAATCTGAATTATTTTACGAATACATGAAATGACTATTTTTGAAAACGTTTGTGTATTTTTATGTATTGTCATTGTTAGTATTCAAATATTAAATTCAAATTGAATAAGAATAATTATTAAAAATACTTATTGCTTCATCGTATTAAAATTAATGAAATTATTGATTATTGTAAAATTCATTGTGATAGTCGCAACCTTGCGAAAAATCATCTATAAAATTTTGGTTTTGTCGTCCCATCTAACTCGTAAATTAAATACAGTCCTTAGTAGATTAATGAATATTTTTTTATGTTTTATTTTTAAAATAGATAATTTAATTACAGGAGTATAGATTTATTAAAAAAAATTATTTTTAGGTGAAGTTTTTCTGTGGATTACCCAAATGGAATGACCAAGTCAAAGATATGTTACCTGAATCTATAAAGACACCTGAGAGTCAAGAAGTGTGGAATGGTGACGAAGAAGATAAAAGTTCTGCTCATCTAACAGACAAGTTAACAAAGTTTTCAGATCCCGAAATCGCTGTTAGGGTTCGTGGTTTATTCGCTAATATGGCACAGTCTGTGTGTTCAAATTATTCTTCAACTAATTGCTGGAACGGTCAGACTGTAGGAGAGTGAGTATATTTTTCACTATAAATAAGTATTATTATAGTTTGTTAAAAGTACAACGATTCTAATTATTAATCTTCTCGTATATAAATTACTATGTGAGTTTTAATTGATATTTGCTGTTAATGAAACCGAAATCTTTAATCATAGATTTAACTTATGTTTTCTATGCAGCCTTTTAGCCTTTAATGTTATTTTCGTTATGATTTAACTAACGTTTAAAATAGAAATTTATGATATCTTTGATATTGTTTTATGTGTATAAATTAATTTTTTGCTTATAACAGATATACCGACAACGTTGTTGGACCCCTGTTGAGCGCTCAGATGTATAATCCGGAATTTGATTGGACGTCATCCATCAACACTCAAGACAATAAAGTAGCAGAAGTCATTGACAAATTAAGACACGTCAGACAAGTACGTACAATGCTTTTGATCAGTAAAATTTAATTCGAAATTAAAATTAAACTTATAAAATGTGTTCTCTTATTTAACAGTTATCTTTTTAATATTCCAGATGGTTTTAAATCAAGTTATCTCTAGTCCACAATCGGATTCCTATATGGCCGACGAGGCTGAAGGCTCAGGTGAAGGAAGTGGTAGTGGACCTGGCCGAGTTGGTTGGGGAGACGACGACGATGCTGAAGAATACGCTTCGGGTGAAGGTTCTGGTGATAACCCCCTAACTACACCTGAACCGGATGATGATCTCGAAAGTACTAGAAGTAAGAATACATATTTTCTTTTATGTTTTGCACCCGACTTTCAATTAATAATATTCAATCTTTTGTTTATAAACACCATTATTAACAATCGATGTCTCCTTTTGTAGGACTGTTACCTAAGACGAAAATATTGAAAGACAACAGCGGCTCATCCTATGATATCAATACTGATGATGGAACCAAAGGAAAGGGTGGCGCTACACCATCTTTACAAGCGTCTACCACTTTGGTATTCATCGTTACGCTGTTCTATACATCTTCGTATATCTTGTTACCGGTAACCAGGATACTTTAAAAACATACATTTTTGTTAAGTTATAATTATTATTCTTGTTATTAAGTGAAATTTTGTTCTTCAATATACCCAGCTTTCATGTGTTTTTTTTAGGGTACTTTTCAAAAAATGACGATTGTTTACACTTTGTTTTTTTTTTTTTTTGGGGGACTTATTTTTATTATTATTATTTTTTGTATCATTATGTTTGTGTTAATGTCCTTTAGACTGATGAAATTCGTGTGTATTCATATTAAATTATTATTTATGTTATTTTTAAAAAATGATATTACGTTTATCTGTGGTAAACGGCGATTATTATTTGTTATATCGAAAACCTAACGCAATAATTTTAATAACAATCGTTAATATACCATTAGGCTTACTAACATTACCCATTTTTTTTAAATTTTAACCTAATCATTTTGTTCTTAAGCAATAAAAACAATAAATATATGTATATATATTTTACATTATGACAAAAATGGCTCGTTTTGAAGCTTAAAGCTCATCATGTTTATATATATATATACATATAAATGTATGCGACTTTAAGATTATTTTTGAAAAATAATTAATTACTATAGTGATTGAAGTGTTGTAAAACAATGATAATTATTTGTAAGTTAAGCGTAACTATTTTGACGGCACTACTCAATTAATAATGTTATTATAATTATCATTATTTTTATTGGTTGTTTAATATAATTTTTTTTCAAAACGTTTTAAGACTGTAATATTAATGTTTAAGTCGGGGATTTAAACAAGCTCTATTGTTGGATGACTGACGGATCTAAAACGTAATGGCACCTTCCCATTTGTCTAAAATTCTCGACATTTAAATTTATTCCAATTTCCTTTTGATAATTCTAAAGATTATAACGACATTAATAATATCATGAGAGACTTAACTAGGTCACGGTATTTCACAAAACCGATATAATTAATTATTTTTCGAATAAAAACTGTCTGACAAACCTTAAAAAATTATGTAATTTATGAAAAAAAATTTTATTGCTATAATAATAGTCATACTGGTCCAAGTGACGTGAATTTATAAAAATTCTAATACATTTTTAAATCAAGCTGTAAAGTTATGCCATTTACTCATTTTGTGTAAATGGTTTCACAGTAAATTCTATTTAAATTATTATTGAGGGACGTTTTATCCATTAGGTATGCCACGTTTCCAATTCGGGCTTCCATGACGTATATTTGATGTAAAATATATAATTGCTTGCAAATATCTTCAAATTCATTTTTTAGTGGATTGTAATGTAAATAATATGTTATTGAACAATGTTATAATATTATACTATTTTAATAATTAGTGTTGACGAAAAAAAGTGAAAGAAATTATTTCAAATATTTTATGTGTAGTTGATTTTTTTCTTTTTAATGACTGTGATTTGTATAGTTAGATAGGCAAATTAAGTTTAATATAAATTATTATTATAAATTGTCTTTAATGTTTATTTATGATAATATCAAATACTGTATAGTTATAAATATTTATATTTGATGTAATAAAGAAAAATAAATTTTTAAACCATGACTTTTGATGAATTATATGTATTGATCTAAATGTCTATATTTATATTATTATTGCATTACTTAATTCAATGTATCATATGTCGTAAACCAAAAATAGGTAAAGAGAAAGGGGTATTGAAAATAAAGAATTATCCTTTTTCTCGTGCTGTGTTGTTCGAGGGTCTATGTTTGTGAGCATTAATTTGCAAGCTGAGTTTGAATGTTCTTACCTGAGTTTTAACTATCCTTCAGACGTGCAGAATAGTGATAAAAAAAGAACGCAAAGCCAAACAGTTGTTGAAAAAATAATATAATTAATGTAACTTCACATATATTTATATAAATCAATTGTAATAATCACGCGAAGTTTATGGAGAGATATTATTCTTAATTAATTAACACAACCTTAAATATTAATAAATACACTTATAATTATTCAGCGGTGTTAAACTAATTTATCTCGCGAAAATCAGACGATGAAAGCGACGTGTTCGTAACTGGGTAAGATCGAAACAGGACGAGTGCGTCCATCCCTAAGTCTCACCTGGTGTTCTTCTTATAACCCCTTCCAGAGACGCACATATTCATCGTTCGGCTTTCATTCACTTCACATTTTTTAGGAATTTCATGATTTTGTATATACATTGAAAAAGGGCTCTTTGACTAAAAATAATAAATGGAAACATTTGATTTTTGAAAGGTGTGCATGTGCGGTGAAAAAGAAGAGCGGATGACTATGGCGTAATTGTGTCAACTATGTGTTGGATGTGATTAAGAACAGAAAATATTGATTGTGTATAGTATTTGTCGTGAGAAGTATTGTGTAATAGGATAGAATATTTGTTTGTGTTGAGAGAAGAAAGAGAAGAGAAACAAATAGTGTTTATAAGTAAAGGGCCTTTTACAATACATAATACTTCTAAAAACTGTAGCACAGTGGGGTCGTGCCATAATTGACACAAATATAGATCATATCTGACATTGATTAAAATATCTTTCATAAAAAACACTTTGATGCAAATCCGTAGATAGTGTTTAATTTTAAAGAAATTGTTGGTATATTCCAAAAGCAAAATGAACTTTTATTTTCTTATTTATATCCTGATTACAAGTTTTATGATTTATCAGTGTTATATATGAATAAATATTTATTACAGCAATTAAAAGTAGTATGAAATTGATATTTATTAATTTAATACTGTCATTTTTATGAAAAAATGATAAAGTAGTCCTTTTATATCAAACGTGTATAAAAATTTAAGGACTTGATGCGATAAATACTTAAGAATTAAGAAAAAAATTCATAAAAGTTATTTGGACAGGTGGAACATGTAAGACTATATTATTCGAATATATTATATTCGACGTAGCTATTGTGCATTATATGAATATGTAGCTAAATGACAATTTAAACTAGTTCAAAAATTCAAAGCAACTTATATTAACTTTGAGGAGGCAAAATAAGATTAAATTTATATTAAATATAGGTTAGGTTCATGTAAATTTATAAAAAATAGATGAATTCATTACTATGCCAAACACTTGTGAGTTATTTTAAAATAAACAAAAATAAAATATCCAGCACAGTGAGGACGAAAAAAATTTTCATCTGAGTCAAAAATATACTTTTATTATTAAATTTTTCGTGCTAATTTCATATCAGCAATTATATTTTTTCTATCACCAATCATTTTTGATATTATTACTAATTAGTTACAAACTATAGGATATTACTATAAAAAAATAGTTCTGAATATTTCAATTGTATCATCTATTTAAACACCAAAAGTTACATAGAAATTATTATCTTTTGAAATGATTTATTACGATAATAATATAATTAAAAACACAAAAAAATTGTTTTTACATTATTACAGATTCTGATTCTTAATATGTTAAAAATAATCAGTGTAAAATATCATTTTTAACCTATTTTTTTGGTCGTTTAAAGTTGATTTTTTGAAAGTTTATAACAAAAAAAAAGTTGAATTTGTTACAAAAACTTTTAACTTAAAGTTTGAAATTAAAATTATTAAATAGAAAATTTTATGAGAATAAAAAAAAATAGTATTCTTAAGAATAATTCCTTGTTCTATTATATAATAAGATATGGAGTCAGAAAATTGTCTATTTACTGTAAATTTATCAGAAGAGCTCAATATTTTTTTTGTATTTTTATTGTTATAGATCATTTATATAGAAATCATATTAATCATTACTAAGTAATTAAAAAGATTCTAAAATTGAAATGTTCATAATTTAATTGATCTTTTCTTCCTCGTCTTAATCTCAACAACTTAATATCGGCCGCCCTTAAACTAAAATTCTACTTGACACCATCTCCTACATTATCTACGGTCACATCAGCTGTTCTCATATCACATTAAATAGCATCCCTCCAACCCTTTTGGTCTTCCTCTACCTCTTCTTCCATCAACAATAATTTCATTAACTGTTCTTACAGCTTCCGATTCTTCTCTTCTCATAACATGACCAAACCATTCAAGTCTATTTTCTCTCATCCACGATTGACGCTACACTTATACTCCCTCTTATATTCTAGTTCCTTATCCTATCTTCTCTAGTCACTTCACTCATCCAGCTAAGCTTCTCATCTCTGCTACACTCATTCTCTGCTCTACTTTCTTATCAACTGCCAAACACTCTGAACCATACATCATAGCTGGCCTTATTACAGTCTTATAGAATTTACCTTACAGCCTCATTGGAATTCTTTTATCGCATAAGACACCGGACGCTTTTCTCTACTTCAACCACCCGCACTTAATCCTGTCTCTTACATCCTCGTCCTACGCTTTTTACTCTGGTACAACTCCATCGTACATATCTTCTGTTTTAATAATGTACCTTTTCGAGATTCCTTTTTTTATTAATGCCCACTTTAAAAGCTCTCTCAGTACTCTGTCATACACTTTTTCCAAATCTATAAATACTATACACAGCTTTTTCTTCTTTTCCGTAATTTTTTCTATCCGTTGCCTCACACAAAATACTAGCTTCATTGTTGACTTACCAGGCATAAATCCAAACTGGTTTTTAGATACCGATGTCTCATTTCTTATTCTCTTATCTAATTTCCACACACTTGTATATCTCCTTTACCTTTAAATATTTAATCAAATTTTATTAAAAAGATCCTTCAACTTTTTTATGTCAACACTGCCTAATATTTTCAATACTTCTACTGACACTTCATCTGGTCTTACTGTTTTATTCATTTTCATTAATGCCACAGCCTATCTCTCACTAATTAAATCTACTAGTCCCTCATTCCACGAGATATCCTATAATGTCTCTTTTGGGAATTCCGCATTCTGTAATGTGCACAGTGCACTGCACACTCATTCTCTGCTCTACACCTTACTTTATGATAATCTTTAGAGTTTTTTCTTTTACTTTTGCAAGTCTATAGACTTTTTTCTCGCCTTCCTCTGTTTCAAGCCTATCATATCTTTTAAACTTTGCTTTACTTACTGTACACTTGGCATTTTTGCACATGTGTTTATACTCCATCCAAATTTCTCTTCGAATGCTCTTCTGCCATACTTTGAATAGATTTTTTTACTTACTATGATTTTTTGAACGTCCTCATCCCCCCATCAAGTTTCCTTGTTTTCTGGCATTCTACTCTTACTCTCACCAAATATATTCTTTGGAGTATTTTTTTAAATAACTAACAAATCTTTTTCACACGTCATTTATGTCTCCCTAAATATTTAACACCGTTCTCTCTTTTAACGTCTTTAAAAATTACTTTTTTCCCCTTTCAATGTCTACCAACCGTATACTCGATTTTTTTCTTGTGTATTTTCTGTTTTTTTATATTCTCTTCTACTACACGACAACTTCATTACCATCAGTCTATGTTACGAAGTTACACTCTCGCCTGGTATAACTTTACAATCTTTACTCGTTTACGCTCTCTCTCTTCCACATAAAATAATCAATCTATAATCTATTCCTCCTACTCTTATAAGTTATATAATGTTCTTCCGTATTTCTAAAATAAGTATTAACTACAGTAAGATCATATAATACTGCGAAATATAGGATTCTCTAGTCTTATTCTTCCCACTAAAACCATACTCTTCGCGTACTCTTTTATATCTTCTCCTCTCATTACCTACATGTCCATTCATATCTCCACCTATTACCGCATCCTCATTGCCAAATATCCTTTGCATCACTTCATCAATCTCTCTCCAAAACACTTCTTTGTCTATTTCATCACATCCAACTTGTGGTGCATAGGCACTTATTATATTCAGCACTTTATCCTCGGATATCAATTTTACCACTATAATTCTATCACTTTTCCTAGCTACTTCCACTATTTTACTTTTCATCTCCTCATCTATTATTATCCCTACACAATTCTTTGTACTAGATTTACTTGAGTATATTATTTTATATCCCTCACCTATTTCCTTTGATTTCTCTCCGTTCTACTTAGTTTCCTGCACACGACAAATGTTAACTTTTTTCCTCATATAATACATCTAATAATTCTCTACCAGCTAATGTTCCAACATTCCACGTATCTATTCTTATTTTGTATTTATATTTCTCTCTTATACATGAGTCCAGCCTAGAGTTAAGTGTTGATTATCCTATTCCGTTGACACTACAAGCGTTGGATAGACCTACACAAATGACTGGTAAAATAGCTACCGCACAAATTGTCTAGCTGTTATCAAACACTGTATTCCTCAGGCCTCTGTTTTTAACTACTATATTTCCTCTCACCTGTTGTCCCCACATACATCCAAGATGGGACAATTGGTCTAAATTTTGTTCAGGACACCTCATACTATTTGACAAAAATTTCCGGCTGTCGACCTGACGCGACCTCATTAGTCGCCTCATACGACTGACAGAGGGGCCGTGGAAGTATTCTTATCCCCTATCCACAGAGAATAATAATTAAGTTTAACTAAAAACAAACCAATCAAAATGTTGTTTAAAAAATCTACTCAATTGAGTGTATTAATTGTGATCATTTGATGTATCGTTAAAAAATATTGGTCCAGTGAAAGCTGAGATTATGAATGAGACCCATAAAAAATAATCACATAGTAACAAAAACTTTAATATGAGTAAGAAATTTCTTAAAATGAGGGGTGACTACAGTGATAGTCCTTGATATTCATTTAAGTTATTTAATCTAAATGAGCTAAACATTTTTTCTAGCTCAAAAAACTTTGTATGGTATTTTACAAAATAGGTAGATAAAGAGTCAGATTTATAAAAAAAATATATCAAATGATAGGTAAAGACATCATTTATCTATAAAAAAAAATTATTTTGATTTGATCATTTTTAAAAAAGTAAGGCAGTTTTAAGTAAAATAATTGAAAAAATGTCGAAAATAAGTGATTTTTAAATTTGTCATTTTTGGAATTACATGGAATAACATGGAACAAAGGAAAATTTTCTATTAAAATTTTTAGAAAATATTTCTTTAGCAAAATTATTTTTTAATTATAGCTAACCAATTACTACCTTCTATTTTTCATTTCAATTTATACTAATCTTTATATACAATATTAAATATCTAAATTTACTAATATTTTCACAAGTTTTACACAGTCCTTATTTTTAATTTACTCTTAATTTAATTTTACATTTTATAACGAGTATATGCATAATAATAAATAAATTGAGAAAACATTTTTCATCGAAAAAATAGCTAATTTTTCTGTGTTTATTTATAGAAACATAGTTTTATCATAATATAAACCAATCAAAATATTTTCAAACATTCTAGTAATTTATTTTTTCTTATTTATAATTTACATAAGGTAGGAGTAAATTAATTTTTTTTGTCTTATAAATAAAATTTAAACTACAATTACATCGTTGATTAAAAAAGTATCAAGACCTTGTATTGAAAAGTACATAAAATAATTTTCTTCAAAATTTTCAATATAAGGGTTGTTCCAATTTTTGGGGATAAATAACCATGTTTGGAGTTGATTTCTATAAAAATATATACTTGTGTCCATGAGATAACTTGTAATCATCACCTCCATATATGTAACAGGAACACCTACAGTAATATAAACAACATATATCAAATCAGCATAATTCATTATATTATTTAGAAATGTATAATTTAAAGAAAAAAATGTGTAATTACAGAAAATAATAAAAAGAACCAGTATAGTTGGGTCAAGTATAGATGATATTTGACAGTAATTTACATTACTATTTAAAAAAAACACTTTGATGCGAATGTCTTGTATTTCACAATGATTTATATATCTACAATTTAATAATTGCTCAGTACAAAAATGCATTTGTAAAATATATTTAACAATAGAGTTACAAAAATATTATTTACATGTAAGGTCTCTTTCAAACTTTGAGTTACTAATATTTTGATGTGGTGAGCGGGCGGATTATACGTACACCAGTATGACCTAGACAAACCCACTCAATATTTTGAAATTTTGAAAAAAAAATTTTTTTTTTGTTTTTATTACAGATATATAATAAAAAGTATATTTTCAATGTAGTCTAACAAGGTAACAATTATTTAAAAAAAAATAATGTTAGCAAAACAAGAATTGTTTAATTTTATTTGGGGTTAAAAGTATCATTATGGACTTTTGCTCCCCTTGTATTTTGACAAGAGGTAAACTTCCCCCCTTGCCACTCCCCGTCAGTTACGGCACCACTGATTACCATTCTGTCTGTCGAGACCAGTCATGGCACACTTTTTATTTTAGCCACTTTAAAGCGTCCCAAGTTTGTGTAAAATTTTTGTAGGGTTATTAGTAGCGCAAAAATATTTTCTCTTTTATGGAGGTTAAATTACCTTAATCAATTCCAAAACTAATACCTCGGTGTAAGTTTGACACAAATTTACTATATAAAGTTTTTCTAAAACTTACTACATGAATCTACAACGCTATACTATGCATACAGTTTGAACGTTTTTAAATTACAATTAAAAAAACAAATGTAAAAGGAATAATTTATTTAGTTTGAATATGATATTCAAAGTAAATTTTCTTTAAATATTTTTTAATTCATAAATGTGAAAAAAATGTAACTAACTCATATGAAAAAACTTAATACTCAGCAGTAGTGCCAATCATTACCAAACACTCAGTAATAACACATTATTAAGTTTTAAGTCAATTAATAATAATGTTTACTGACTTCGGAATAAAATAACAAAATTTAGAAATGCGTATAATTCTGGACCCTACTATAGCAGGGTTTTTCACTTATATGTTATAATAATAACGCATAAGTGAAAGACTATGAAAATATATAAGAAATTATAAATCAAGTATATTGATCTAAAAAATATAAAAAATAAAATCTAATTTTAATATTATTTCAAAAAATATAGATTCTTTATACGTATATTATAACATACAAATATGAATGTAAACAATATAAAGAAAAAATTTAAATCTCAATTTAACTAAAAAATAATCTCAATAAATTGTTTAAATAGCACTATAATTTTTTTCTATAGTTGTCTCATAAACAATAACTTGTAAACAAGAAGAGAGAATAATTAATGTTGCCTTGGCAATAATAACACACAACTTTAATTTTAGTTAAATTTGTTGTACATATAACACTGTTATTTATTTTATTATTCCATGTTTTTTATATATCAGACAAGTTGTTGTAAAAACATGTATATAACACATTTTGTATTATTTTCTTTAATTATAGATTAAATTTAAAAATAATTGTGTTTAATTGTTTGTATTAATTCAATTAAAACAGAATTTTAGTAAATTTTTAAAAACAAATCAATTTATACAATAAATAATTGAAAATTAGTTATGAAATTGACTTTTTTTTTTTGTTACAGTTTATAAATTCAATAAAAGAATAATATTTACCATTATTTTGAACAGGATTTTTTTGTAGGTATTCTTGTAATTTATTTTGTCCTCCCATGAATGTACTAATACCTACATTATTAAGTATTTCCTAACAAATAAATAAATATATTTTTATTTTCATGTAATTATTGAGGGATACTATAAAAACTTGTGATTTTATACCTCATAAACTATTGCCCTTAGATATTCATGATTATTTTCTGTTCCACTAAGAAATAAAGATACAGCTCTATAAAATTCATTTCCATCAGGAAATAAAATTTTTTGTTTATCTTTATCTGGCTTAGTCAGACTTTTATCAGCTTCAATGTACGTTATAGGGCTATTGAATTTAAAATTAAATTGTATACATAAATCGTTTCGTGATAACAATCCTAATGGTCTAAAGCGATGATTAGCTTCTAGAACCTCTGTATGTCCAGTCCATACGCCATCTAATGTGGATAGATAATCTACTGAAAACTTCAATATTTTAAAAAGAAAATATAAATTTATTGTTATTTATTCATTACAAAACTCGATTCAATTATAGTAATTGTATAACAGTAAATACTGACTACTAATCACAAACTATGACTAAAATATAGTGGAAAAATTAGCTTTACTTTGATAAAAATATTGTGAAAATTTACTAAAGATAAATAACGTCAAAGTTTTTACAAATTTTTATCAGAATGTTACAAGAACAATTAACAAGTATAGGGTTTATAATTTATAGTAAAAATTTTGTTATATTCTTATTTTATGTAGAAAAACAGTGATAATACAAATACTAAAATTTATTTGTTATTACATATTTATCTTTTTTATCTATTTTAAAATATTTTTTATATTCATCCCCTATGTTTAATAGGAGTGTCAACTTAATTATTTTAAAGTGCAACACACATTATTAACTAGTTTAATTATTAGATAATGCTCTAATAATAAAAATAACTGGTCCATTTCAAAAGTTTTTAACAACATAGTTATACCTTGGCGAAAGGAGCAGTGAGGCCGAGAAACCCAACCTGACCGAGAAAACAACTACTCCTCACTTCCATTTGTTACTTCATAATGTAAATAACTTCTGAAATACAGATCAAAAAGGTTGTAATCTACCAGTCATTACTTGAATTAATTAACTATTTAATAATTAAACTAGTTACTTATGTACGTTATCATTTAAAAATACAAAGTTAATACCCCTATAATACACGAATAATGAACATAAAAATGATTTTATAACAAACAAATGTAGTTAATTATTCAAAAAAAAAATCATTAATATAAGAGATATTGAGTAGCTAGTGTTAAAAAATAATAATAATAATATTAAATGTATTATTTTTTTAAATATTGCGTTTAACTATAACATTTCAATATACAGTGTATATTTAACTATTTTTGTTGAGAAAAATTAAATATATTGCATCAGTATTAATCAAATATACTTTGAGTTACTTTTTAAACAAATTTTTTTTTAATTTCATTATGACACTTAATTTTTTATTTAAGAATAGTCGGGTAAATTGAGTAAAACGAGTTAAAAGAGATTAGAGAACCTAAATGTTTTTAAAATTTCTTTCTAATTTTTAAAGTTTTGAATTCTCAAGAAAAAATACTTAAGCTTATTATATATTTTTTCATTAATGGTTATATTTTACAATACTATAATATTTTTATATAAATAGTGTAATTGTTGTAAAAATAAAATTTTTGAAATTTACAAACCATTTATTCAGGGTTGTGTTTATTTGGGAGTTTAAACACAACTCTTGAAATTTATAACAAGACATTTTGTTACTGAAACTAGTACTTTTAGAAGAATATTGACCAAATATTATATTAATTATAAAATAAATATAAATTACAGAAACATAAATTCATGCTTGTAATTTGTATAAATTAATACATACTGTATTTTTAACTTATACTAAATATATCTCAATAATTGTATTATAATATATAGAGTCGTATTTTATGCATAGCTATTATGTTATATTGTTAATTACTTCTAAAATAAAAGTTGTAAACTATCAGTTATTTTCTTAATTGAGTTATTTTCCTATCACATTAATATTCTAATAAAAATATCTCATGGATGTTATATTCTTCGTACAATTAGATTACCTTCTTTATGATATTTATGTTTTTGTTATTTCTCAAACCTTTTACCAACAATAAAAAGATCTGTAACAAGAGAAAATTGATAATATATTTTGTTATTTTCATCTTAAAAAATAACTAAGCTGAAATTTAATTCGTATATTTGAATAATAATTGATAAAATTTCATGTCAATGATTTTTGTAATTATACTTACTGGATATTACATTATAAATAGTTTTAAACAAGTGTATATTAAATATTAATAATCAAATATAGAAATGAATAATTCAATTGTTATTATTTATTTAATAAAACCTGTTAACATTTTAATTTTTTTAATTATAGTATTATAAATACACTTTGTATACAGAGTGGAACAGATGTAATTGACATCTCAATAACTTATGATCCACATAAAATTTGTTAAACACCACTCGTAGTCGATGATTTCAATTAATTAAACTCAAATATTACGCCCGAAATTCATTAAAAAGTATACATATATTTACACCAAAACCACCGTCCAATGACCTCACATAGTGAGCGTGACTGAACAACAACTGATATAATATGATTTTATAATAACTGATATAAACTGACCTGACTAAATAAACAAATTATCACATATGTTTGACACAAACTATATATTTTTTTATCTTCGATGCGAAGCTGAGAAGGTATTGGTTTTACTATAATGGGTTTTTTATTTTATTTTTTTTTGTGTCTGTTATCACTTTTTCTTAGCTCTCACCAAACGGATATCTTTCAATGGTACGTCAAAAGATCACAAATCGTATCTAGTCGAAGACATTACCCTCAAAAATTGAAAAAATTTCCCTCGTTCTCCGTAAATGGGGGAAACCTACAAAAAAATTACAAATTTCAAAATCGCTAATTTTCGAAATTTTTTCAATTTTTTTTACTAAAAACTGCTGTACTTTTTCAAAAATGAACATATCAATATAATTTTTTTTTAATAGATGCTTGATGTCTTTACTTATCATTTAGTATATTTTTTTTATAAATCTGATCCTTTATCTGCCCACAGGGGGGGATTTAAAATGATAACTTTTTCACAAAATATTAACTTTTTCAACTTAATTTTTGAAAATGTTCCGGAAGGTCTGACACTTATATATATATCTTAAATTAAAGGTAATGTAATGTACTTTATTATGGAAAAAAAAATTTGACCTCTGGACTTGTCTTCGTGGTGAAAATGGCTACCAAATGCTATTTTTGTGTGAAAATTCTCGATTTTATATTTTACATTTTTTACTTTATAATGTTATAATTTATTGAAGAGTGTATGAATCAACACAATTTTTTTATGAGAAATAATATTTTTTAATAATTCCTTTTTCATTCAGGAGAATAGCAGATATTGTAGCTTTTGGAATAATCCACCAATTTTTTAAAACTAAACACTATCTAAAGATTTGCATCGAACCGTTTTTTTTTATAGTGATTTTAATCACTGTCAGATATCATTATACTTGATCCAACTATGCCAAGTCACCACTGTGCCGCGACCCCCCTGTGCTGGGTTTTTTTAAATCTATTTTTATAATATACAAGACTGTATTTAAAATATGTTTTGTCATTTTTCACGTTCAAACATTAAGTAACGTAAAAAGATAATGTTTACTTCCGTTCTTTACATAATATAGACTAACATTTGATATTATATAAAAATCTAAAAACTTTTTAGAGCAATGATTATCTCTAATATTTATTACAAAATTCAAGAAAGTTTCTAACATTTTGTATATATTATGTTTCTAATAGGAATATAATCGAATGTTGACTACAAATGTTCGATGGTTAGCGAAATTAAAAGTAATAACAATTATAAATATGCGTGATTCTATCATTAATATCATATTATTTAGGATATTCCTTGTTAGGAGATATGATAATAAATGCACTTTTTAACTATTATGCTCACTATTACTTATAATAACATGTTTTTGGTAACGTTTTTATAATTTTTTTTAATAAACTTAATTTTATTACCACTTGTTTATTCATGTCAATTACAGATGCTTACTTAAGTGTTACTAATTTTCAAGGAAAAGAAATCGCATACTGTTACCAGTAATAACGTAAACTGATGTTTAATTTTGTCCATTATATAATATTAACACTAACATTTGATACCATAGGAAAATCTTAAAAAAAATTAAAACTTAATATACTTCTAAATGCTATAAAAACATGACTACTGAATTAAAATAAGCATTTTTAAAGAAAACATTTTTCTTTAAAACTTATCTATGTAATATTATATTATAACTTATAATATTAACATATATTATGATGTTACTGTTTGTACATGTATACTACATATTGTGAATATAAAAGATTCACCAAAACAGGGTTCCCTTATTTAAAATACAAAATAACCAGCTAATTATAGGATAAAATCTACTTATTGTAGATATTTTTAAGTAATCCCTTCACGCTGGGCCACCATTATAATTAACAAAATAGAATAGAAAGCCACAGCTTTCAGCATCACGGTAGGGATCGCTGAGCTACCCCTTAAGACTACAAAAAGCCACCCCCCTCGTCTAAACCAGTCCTTCGGCGATTTTAAAATACACAAAATCTACGACACTCTACTCAAGATTTCACTCTCCGTGACTTAGTCATTTTTTTAATTAATTTGGACTTAGAATATTTTTCTTTAAAACTAAATGACACTTAGAAATTTTAAATTTAATTTCGTTTTGGTGAATCTTTTAATTTAAGTTAATTTGTTCATTAAATATTAATGTTTTATTTTTCTCGCTGTGAAAATAAATATCAAATAATATTTTAAACATTAAATATTTTTTAATTATTTTATGTAAATAATAAATCCAATCCAACTTTAAATTTTTATTTAATAGTAAAAATATATAAATAATAATAAAGTATTGTGAACTTTTCTTATTGGATAGCTAGTCTCTGAGCTCAATGTCATTGTTCTAATGAACATCGTGCCGACGGACAGAGCTAAATGTCACAATTTTCTCAATTAACACTGAGTCTCAAATTAATTTATTAATAAATATATTGGACTAAGTGTATTGTAACTCTACACTTACTGAGTAGCTTATTAGTCATTGAGCTTAATGTCTTTGCTTTAACGAGCATCGCGCTGGCGGACTGAGTAAAGAAACTTACGAATATATTTTTAAAGTTTAATTTTTGTCTTGGTGATTATTGTGCCGCATCCTTTCAAGGCGCTAGCGACGGGACACATTGGGTCACCACAATTCCGTCTTGATAAATTTTTTACATAGGTATAAATATTTCTGACTTTTGTTTTGGCCAGGTCAGAAGAAAATTTAAGAAATATTGATGTCGATCTCTCAATAAAATATACACTTACAAAAAAAAATTCTTATTCAACAGACATAAAAAATGTTTAATACCAAAATCAACATTGGATTACTTGAAATATTGCATTACATAGGATGTAAGGAAAGTACAATTTAACAAATCGTATCTAATCGAATACATTACCCTCAAAAATTAATAAAAATTCCCTCGTTCCCCGTAAATGGGGGAAACCTCCAAAAAAATTACAAAAATTTAAAAATCGTTAATTTTTGACATTTTTTCAATTTTTTTTACTAAAAACTGCTGTACTTTTTCAAAAATGAACATATCAATATAATTTTTTTTTAATAGATGCTTGATGTCTTTACTTATCATTTAGTATATTTTTTTTATAAATCTGATCCTTTATCTGCCCACAGGGGAGGATTTAAAATGATAACTTTTTCACAAAATATTAACTTTTTCAACTTAATTTTTGAAAATGTTCCGGAAGGTCTGACACTTTTATATATATCTTAAATTAAAGTCAATGTAATATACTTTATCATGAAAAAAAAAAAAATTTCGGAATTTATTTTATCTTCACGGTGAAAATGGCTACCAAATGTTATTTTTGTGTGAAAATTCTCGATTTTGTATTTTACATTTTTAACTTTATAATGCTAAGACTTATTGAAAAGTATATGGATCAACATTATTTTTTTATGAGAAATGATATTTTTTAATAATCCCTTTTTCATTCGACATACTTTATCTTAATTAGGATATTAATAATGAACTAGCAGATTATGTAACTTTTGGAATAATCCACCAATTATTTAAAATTAAACACTATCTAAAGATTTGCATCGAAGCGTTTTTTTTTTGATAGTGATTTTAATCACTGTCAGATATCATTATATTTGATCCATCTATCCACGTCACCACTATGCTGGGTTTTATTATACGTTTTTTCCATTTAAAAAGACAAAATTGTTTCCCTTAAAGATATAAGATATAAGTAATATAAGTAAACTACTTAAAAATTGATGATCAAGAAATTATGTAACTAAAAAAATTCAAAAAATTATTGTTGACATTATTTTTATTTTAATAGTAAAATATGATAAACGAATCACTCAGTATATATTTATGAAGTATTCGCATGAAAAGTTGTAAAGCATTGTCAATAGTTCTCTATTAGTCAACTACATCTTCAACTATAAAATATTGACGGCCTTCACCAGATAAATAAATACATTTTTCTTCACTCATTTTAGAAATTGTTTTTTTAGACCAGTCTTTAGGAATGTATAACCACCAGTTCAATTTTTTTATATATAAATATATGCACGTTTCAATAACAATACTTGAAGCTATCATTTCAACTACGCCTATGTAAAGATATAAAAAAGTATTAAAAACTGTATAAATAATATATTTTGATATAAATATTTTACATGAATTATTTTATAAATGACCATTTAAACTTTTTTTTCTAGTATTTACATTCTTACTTCTAATTAGGGTTCACGCATAATTTCAGAAACCTATTAAAGCTTCAATTCATTTTTCTCATTGTCTTTTAGTTTCGATACGAAGTTGTAAAGGTATTAATTATACCAAGATGTGTTTAATTTTTTTTGTGTCTGTTACTACTTTTTCTCAGCTCTCACTGGACCGATATTTCTCAACAATACGTCAAAAGATCACAAATAGTATCTAGTTGAATACGTTACCCTCAAAAACTGTAAATTTTGCCCTCGTTCTCCGTAAATAGTGAAAATTTCCAAAAAAAATTACGATTTTTAAAATCGGTAAATTTTGACATTTTTGTTTAAAATTGCCATAATTCATTGAAAACTGAACAGATCCAAAAAATTATTTTTTTAAATTGAAACCTTGGATATTTTTCTTTCATTTGACATAAATATTTTGAAAATCTAATCCTTTGCCTGCCCACAGGGGGGATTCAAAATAGCAAATTCTGCCCAAACATTTTACTTTTTACTAAATTAAAACATGCAATTTTGTTTAAATTTATGACTTCAGATTTTATTTTTTCAACTTTAAATTACTATAAATTTTCGAGAAATGTATGGAGCAATACAATTATTTTTTTTAAATACTTTATGTTTACTTCTTTCATTTGATATACATTTTTAGAAAATCTGACTTTTAACCTGACCACAGAGGGGATTCAAAAAAACAATTTCTACATACAAATTAAACTTTTTCAACTCAATTTTTGATAATTTTCCAGAAATATTGACACTTTTATTTAATTTTTGTTATAAAAATTCTTAGTATTGTATTTTAATTTATTTTAATATACCTTATAATGGATTACACTGATTTTCATGAATATTATATAAAACTAATTGACATAGAATATAAAGTTAAACTTATTTGAATTTTTTTCTTTTAAGTCAAAAAAATTAATTTTAACATTTGAATCAGCTTAAATGGCCAATTTTATCAAAAAACGAATTCTACGAATGTTTGTCGATTCCATAAAAATCATTGCCTATGGTAAAGATATTTTTGCAATTTTTCCTTTATTATTTATGAGTTAGAACTTTGCTTTTGAATAATCCACCAACATCTTAAAATTAAACATTATTTATAGGTTTGCATAGAAGTAATTCTTATGATAATGATTTAAGCTCACTGTGCTACCGTTTTTTTTAAACATATTTAACTATGTTTAGAGACTTTGAATAAAAAAAAATGACGTTATTATGATATTTTTTAATTATTAAGTGTTTTGTGAAAACTTTTTTTTTTAAGTGTTAATAGGAGAAAATAAGGAGGCAATTAATCAGAGGCTAGAGTGTGGATATCAGCTCTTGAAGAAAAGAGTTTAGGAATAAGTAGAAGTAAACAGAGTAGTGACGGAGGTCAGTGGCAATAGGCGAGGACGTGATTGGAAAGGTGGAGAGTTTTAAGTATTTAGGGCCAGTTGTGCAAAAAAGTGGTGGTATTGACGAGGATGTAAGACACGGGATTAAGTGTGGGTGGTTGAAGTGTAGAGAAGCGTTCGGTGTCTAATACTTAAGCAAAAGTGAAGGTCACCGCAAGGAGCTTCGGTTGGAACTGAATCAACACAAAAAGCCATTACTTTTAAAATTATAAATTTTTTTTCTCTAAAATTTCTGTCAAATCAAGTCAAAACCTTTTTTAATGATGCTATGTTTTTACTTTTATAAAATAAAATAATTTACTGGCAAAAAAAATTGTTTAAAATTGTCATTTCCTTTATTAAATACACTATAAAACTCAACTTCTTAAGTTCATAATAAAAGCTGTGTAATTAATATTTTTGATTTACTAATGAAAATCGTTTTTGAATATACAAAAAGTATAACAGAAAAGCATTAGACTAGATATAGAGTAGAATTAAGTATACAGTTATTAGAACTATAAGGAAATTATCTAGGATTTAATCTGTATATTTATTTAGTTACATATGTTGAATTTTTCTTACTGGATTTTGTAGGTCAACAATTTTATTAAAATACGAATATGCCTTTAGAATCCGTGCAAGTTCAATACATTTTTTTGAATAATAATAATTTTTTAAAGATTTTTTATGATATATAGTTATTGGCACCTTTATTTCACCATTAGAACTTATATTATTCAGATCAGGTAGTTAGTGGCTCTCTTTTTATTGTCAACCTTTTTAAATTAATGATAATATCCTTCACGGTTAAGTAAAAATTATATTTTTGTCAAAAACATAAAGCATATTATTAATATTAACATATTATTAAAAAATAAATAGTTAAAAATGTGTTACTAACTATTCACTTCATCCTATTCAAGGTAAAAATTATAACTTCTTGTTTGCTTAGTGGACTTGGGTATAACTATTTCTGAATTTTACAAGAGCATATTATAGCAAAAATTTCTGAAGTAAGCTAACTTAACCTTTATGTTGACTTTCTAATTAATTTTCAAAACTGTCAGAATACCCTAAAGTATTATTTATTAATTTTAAAATTAATTAAATTAAAATGATATCGGGTTTCAATTTTAAAACTATGGCGTCAGTCCTTGCGACCCCAAATCGAATCTCAAATACTCAATTTATCTCATATATTGCGTGTGGCATTGTTAATCACCTTGTATGTTTAATCATATCTCGAAAATTGGTACAGTATGAATATTAAATTTTTGAGTAACTAAAATCTTTTCTCTTTAAATATTAATAAAAAAATGTTAAAAGAATACCAGTTTTGTTAAAATGTCCACTATTTACATATTGTTGTCTTTTGTCATCACCTCCTAATAAAGTAGCAATATTTTCGTTTTGTTTTACTACCTGTAAAATAAATTGTCAAATTAGTATAAAAAAATACACATTTTTATTTTGAAATTATGCGAATTTGTTTATTCTAGGACAAAGAAACATAATAAATAAAGTTATAATACTAATAATATATAAAACGAAAATTTTTGTTAAAACATAATTGAAAAACAAAAAACTAAAAGTATATGATATCAAAAACCTAAAACATCGTCAAATATAATACAACTTAAATCAATTCTTCTTAAAACAAATATAAATTATTTTTAACATTATATTAACGTTATGAAAAAAATTATGGCTAAAGAAAAATTATTATTGTTAAATAATTGGGTAAAATTAAAAAATTTTCTTTAAAACAGAAATTATTTATCATAAAAAAAAAATAAAATAATAATAATAAAATAATCTTTTTACAAGTTTCATTAGATACATGTTAAAGACCGAATATTTCCCCTTCTCCTCTTATTATTAAAATTAGCTATAAAACATTATCGATTGTAAAAAAATATTCATATTGTATCTTCCATTATTATTATCGTGCATGATAGATTAAGTATAATCAGTGTTAGAATTGCAACGATACTTTGAAGGATGCACAATCGTGCACTACTACAATAGATAACAAAAATTCAACGACGTAAATTGTGGCCACTTGTGTTTGGAATATTTAATTGAACAACAATATGGCAACAACGGCAATGCACGTTCAAGATTGTAACAAATTAATTTTTGGCACTGTTGACAACTCAAATATAGTGATAACACTGCTAACGAGTTTGTACTAATTTGACGATTTACAGAAACGAATTGGAGTAGAGTACTAGTACAATATGCAACAACAAATAGATTTTGATTATCCATTGTTGCCAACGGTTGATTTGCTCAAGGAAAACGGCAGTGGATTTAGTGACAAAAATATTCGTGGTCGAAACGATATATGTTTCACAGCCGATCGCAATTCAATCTTCTTCTTTTTTCTCGCCTTAATCCCAACTACTTGGGGTCAGACACCCTTATCATAAAATTTCACTTGTCTCTTTTTTGATCTTCCTGTACCTCTTCTTCCTTCAACGTTAATTTCTATAACTGTTCTTACAGCTTCCGATTCTTCTCCCCTCTTAACATAACCAAACCATCTAAGTCTATTTCCTCTCATCTTATCCACGATTGACGCTACACCTATACTTCCTCTTAAATACTCGTTCCTTATTCTAGTCACTCCACTCATCCATTTAAGCATTCTCATCTCTGTTACACTCATTCTTTGCTCTACTTTCTTATCAACCACCCAACACTCTGAACCATACATCATAGCTGGCCTCACTACAGTCCTGTAGAATTTACTTTACATCCTCATTGGAATTCTTTTATTGCATAAGACACCGGACGCTTCTCTCCACTTCAACCACTCACACTTAATCCTGTGTCTTACATCCTCGTCAATACCACCGCTCTTTTGCATAACTGATTCTAAATACTTAAAACTTTTCACCTCTCCAATCACATCTTCATCAATTATCACCGATCTTCTTATTTCATCTATCTTATGTTCTTCTTTGTCAAACTTGTGCTCTATATACTCTGTCTTACTCTACTTATTTTTGTCAACATTTTTACTCAACACTGTACCTTATTTTTTTTCTTGTCATGACTAGACTACATTTACCTTATGCACTTTATTTGGTATGATATTTAAGTTGTATTCCCTTATAGGTGCTATTAAGGGGTTAGATGTAGTCAGAGACAAGAAAAAATGACAATTTTAAACAATTTTTTTTGCCAGTAAATTATTTTATTTTATAAAAGTAAAAACATAGCATCATTAAAAAAGGTTTTGACTTGATTTGACAGAAATTTTAGAGAAAAAAAATTTATAATTTTAAAAGTAATGGCTTTTTGTGTTGATTCAGTTCCAACCGAAGCTCCTTGCGGTGACCTTCACTTAAGCTTGGAGATTCATCTAAAGTCAATTGGACAAAAAAAATTAGTTTAATTAATAGATAATATTGTGCCTGTTTGGAGCTTTTTTTTTTTAATTAATAAAATAGCGGCTTCGGGAAAATTTTTTTCCAGAATTTCGAGAAAAAACCAATAGTTATTTGTTTATAAAAAATCGAAATTAAAAAAAAAAAAATTCTTCAATCAGGCACTAGTTTTCATGTTTTCAAAAAACTGTACAAATTTCATTAAAATCTATTGTGCGGTTTCCGAGCTACAGTGGTCACCAGTTCAAAAAACATAGTTTTGAGAAAAACACATTTGAAGTCTTACACTCAATTTATGTAAAGTAATACGTATTATTTAATTAAATTCACCGAGTCATCTATTCCTGGGCCATATAATAGTTCTTCAGCCGTTGTAGCAGCTTCCAAAATATCTATTTGATGTTGTCAATGTACCATTCTACTTTCTCGTGTGTTGTCGTTAGCGCGCTTATCTGCTAGTTACACACGTGCAGTATCGTGTTTTTCGATATACTGATTTGAATTAAGCTCACAATCAAGTCCTAATATAGTCATTATGATCAATAATGATTTAGTACCTTCATTGAATATACCAGTAGCTATGTATGCATCAATTTTTACGATAGTAAAACTAGTATTTATTGTTTTTGGGCATATTTTTCACACTAGTTGGTTAAAGCTCTCATTATTATTTTGATTGAATCCATCTACACATCTTGAGAGTAAATTGTTATCACTGAGATCTTCATAAATTGGCTTGATAGCTTCTACAATATCAGGAGGTTATGGTGAATAATCGTGAGTATATGTAGCAAGCCCTCCATTAGCTTCGGCGTGCTGATAAGAGCATCAAGAATCTTCGTCTTTTGGATACATACTATGATTCGGATTTAATATAGCCAATCATAGAAGAAAGTCCAAATGACAATGTATATCCACGTTTTTGCCAGGTTCCATCTCTTGATACAATTAAATCACTAGTATTTTCGTTTTCAATTGTTGCCATTGCTTGTTATTCTACATTCACAGCTTATATCATCAAGGCTTCTGTGACGATTTAACTACAATCTAACACATGTCTCAATAATATTTTATACATACATTTATCTAAAAAAGCCAGCATGTCCATCAGGCCACAAAGCTTGCATAATCCTTAATATCATATTTCTATTATTCTCATCACAAAATTAAAGCGTCTATTTAATTCAAAAGAATGTACTATGAAAGAACAGGAAGGAACATATTCATTTCAACAATTATTCCATACAACTACAATTTTGAATCACAGCCCACGTGTACTTGTTGTTTTTAAACTATACATGTCCATCACATTTTTTACACTTAACAAGAGTAGCATTCCAGTGAATACCGTAATGAAATTTATTATTCGAAAGTACTGCTACTTTCGGGTAAATCTTCTTTAATGTATTGTTTTAATTTTTTAGGACATGTACTCTGAACACTTTTATCATGTTCCGCTGTTTTCGGATTGAATATATTTTTTCTTTTCACAAAACGCGACTTATAAATATTTTGAGAACTCCGAAGTTCTCTTGAAACTTTTCTAGAATCACGCCCCATGGAAGATTACTTAAAAAATAATTTATTCCAACACACAACTATCGACTGCTCAGTGCAACTACTAAAAGCATACTGGCAACAAACAAATAATTTTCAGCACTAATAATACCTAAAAATTGTAAATATATATAGTTGGATATTTACATAATATAAGTATACATACATCAAAGTTGTGAGTCAATCATGACAATAGAGTCCGAGAACCGGTCGCTTACAGCTGTTGCTAGCTAGAGCGCCCGACAAACCTTTGCTATTTATCAAATAACTCAAAAAGTATTTGTCAGATTTACTTCAAATTTTTAGAGAATATTTCTAAGATATTATTCTTAAAGAAAATACAAAAAAAAATAATCGATTTCTTGAAAATTCTGACTACCCCTCCCTATAAGGGTGTGTTATGTTAATATAAGGCTTTCTGTTTATAATAACAATGAAACAATTTATTATACCAATAATTATAATATTGCTGTTATGTTAATAATAATAATCAATAATTATACAAACTGTTTTGAAATGTAACTAATGGAAACATATCTGGAAATGTTGTTAATGCACATTAGGTGTTCACTGACGCTATTCCGTGCATAAATTATTAAGTTGATAAAATGCATACGTCATATTATGTTATGTGTGCAGTTCAACTTTCTGTTTGTATACATTATTTAAATATGGTTTACGTTAACTTGAGAAGATATAGAGAAAGGTATCGATGAACATCTAAAGAAACTAACGGTCTAATTGAACAGAGAACAAGTTATGATGAAGTGTTTGTATAAAAGAGTAATTATTATTATAACGTGTTATAATTTAATGTAAAAATTAAAAAAAAAAAATTGTAGACAAATTATAATTTGTACAAGTAATTAGTAAACGTAACGTCTATAAAGAAAACATTAAGATTGCAGCGAGTTTTACAAAATTGTCGAACTTTATAGTTTAATACAAAAATGTTTTATGTTACTTAAATTAAGTTATAATTTTTCTATTAATTTTTTTTTTTTATTGAACTTATTTAATTTAAATATATTGTAGTATAATTTTCTTATAAAAATTTAACCACGTGTTTTAATAATTTATTTCATCATAGATTTATAATTATGGTTACAATTTTTATTAATTTATCAATAATTTATAATTCAATAGTTTGTAATGTTGCAGAATTTAATTAGTTTTTTTTCAATAAATGTTATCAATAAAAGGTGTGTGCAGTAGGTGTAAAGTATTTTAATAATTGTGTATGTGATAACCTCCACTAGTCAACCGGTCTGATATCTGTCATCAGCTGACCGTACACTGTGCACCTGTACCAATATTGTTATGTCCCCTCAATGAACGTGTTCAAAGTTGGCACCACCACCACCCGGCGTCACGATCACCGGGCACTATCCAAATGCCGCGACAACAGATTCTTTTTTCTCAACCAAACGACCAAGGCGACAGGTCGTGTTTTCTACATAATTTTTTGTTGTGAAAAACACGTTATTGTGTACATTTTTTTTTGTCCTCCGTTTTTTTTATTAGAAAATAAAACGTCGAGTCGACCTGCCGTCTACTTTGGTGTCAACCAGGCTGTGTATTTTTTTTGTCCTCCGTTTTTTTTGTTAAAATAAACGTCGAGATGATGATGATGATGTGAGACACAACTATGGCCGGTGGTGGGCCGTCACTCCTCCTAACAATCAACAAACAACAACAAGTATCAACATGAAACCCCCTTTTTAATTTTGTGTATCTAGCACAAATTTGGTTTGACCAATGCATCCAATGGGAGGATTTTAGAAGAGCTTGAAACGACGAACTCGTTGTCATATATATTAAAAAACATTAATTAATTTGTATAAAACTTTTGTGTCCGTTAAAAGTTCATTTAATAGGATTATTAAAAGATAATAATCTTTATAATAACCCACTCCAAACTTTTTTTTACTCTTGTAATTATATAATCATATATTATATTTTTACTTCAAACGCCTTCTTTCATAAAGCTGAAAGTTTTTTAATAATTTAAAAATTTTAAGATTCACTATGAATAATACTTATAAATATAGTTGGATTATGATTATGGCACATATTTAAATCATATAATTACTTTAAAAACCATTTCACGGAAAATTTTGTAATTATTTTGTGTTCCACTAAATAGAAGAGATATTTTTTTGTAAAATATGTTTTCATCAATAGAAACTTTCACATCATCCAAACATTTCGGAGACTTCAATTTTTTCTTTAAGTTATCAGTAGTGTAAGTTTTTATTGTTTGAAATTCTAATTTATTACTTATTTGTTCTCGCCACTCTGAATCAACTGGTTGAAAATAGTGGTCAGCTATAAGATATTTAGTAGTTGCATGCCATTCAAAATTAATACTATACATCCCTGTTACATATTTCACTAAATTCTATAATAACAAGTAAAAGTGTAAAACAAGTAAAATTATTTTTTTCCCCTTTCAATGACTACCAACTGTATATTCGATTTTTTTCTTGTGTATTTTCTGTTTTTTTATATTCTCTTTTACTACACGACAACTCTATTACCATCAATCTATGTTACTTAGTTACACCCTCGCCTGGTATAACTTTACAATCTTTTACTCGCTTTACGCTCTCTCTCTTTTACATAAAATAATCAATCTGTGATCTATTCCTCCTACTCTTATAAGTTATATAATGTTCTTCCATCTTTCTAAAATAAGTATCAACTACAGCAACATCATACGATACTCGAAAATCTAGGATTCTCTAGTCTTATTCTTCTTGGTGCATAGGCACTACAAGCGTTGGGAAGACCAGCACACATAACAAGTGAAACAGCTACCGCACAAATTGTCTGGCTGTTATCAAACACTGTATTCCTCAGACCTCTGTTTTTAACTACTATATTTCCTCTCACCTGTTGCCCCTACATACATCCAAGATGGGACAATTGGCCTAAATTTTGTTCAGGACACCTCATACTATTTGACAAAAATTTTACTCCGGCTGTCGACATGACACAACTTCATTAATTTCCTCTTATGACTGGCAGAGGAGCCGTGGAAGTATTGTTATCCCTTATCCACATGGTCAGATATGATTAATTGAGGAATATTTAACAAAATAAATTTAAAATTTTTACATTCCAAAAAGGTAAGTCATGTGTTTCTTATAATTATTTTTTAATAATAAAGTTATAATTATTTTTTTACACTTACATTTGATGGTGAATCCGTACTAGACGAAGCATTTTTATTCTAAAATTAATTATACATATAAATGATTTAAGTCTATTCTATAAATGCATTTTTTTCAAAAATAATCAACAATAAATAAAAGAAAAACTCTGAAAAAAATAAATATTAGAAAACTTATTTACTTTGATAGTAAAATTACGAAGGCTATGTCAGTAGATTTCCCCCACTTGGTTCTACATAAGCCGTAGAATATAAAATAAAACTCTTTAGGAAAATAATTTTTTGATAAATTTATGCATTTTTGATCATTTTAATTTTGTTGGTGCTGAAATAATGCTACCCCTAAAAAGACTGCCTCACTCCTCCTCCCGCCTAGATATAAATATAATAAGAACTTCTCAAATATTAGTTAAAAAATGTGGACTCAATGTATTAAAATAATTATAACTCAATTAATTCTTATATTAAAGTTATAATTGACTCATTAAAATTTTTGGAAAAAAAAACTCCTAAAAAAGACTATTTTATAAATATTATTTTCTTATTTTGCATTATTAAATAATAAAAATATATTATTAAAGTAGTCTAAGAATGCAAAAATTATTTAAAAAATAAATTACAGCGTTATTTTAGTTATATCAACAGTTATAAGATTTATCTGTTAGATTAATTTCATTCTGTATATGTTAATAACAATAGCCAAAAAAAAATAATTGATAAAAAAAATTATTTTAATAAAAATTGGGTACCTAATGTTAAAAACTGTGTATCTATAATATCTCTTACATTACAACTAGATGTTAAGACTTCATTGATTAATGGTGTTGATAATTCCGATGAAAATCTCGTATTCGATTTAGGTGAAAATATCTGTAATATACCAAATATATATTTTTATAGTTAAATATTTATTTGTTCAATGCAGTATATTGTTGTATTGAAATAAAAATTAGATCACAAAGGAATTATGTAGTATAATTTTAAATACGTGTATTATATATTAAATATATACAATATGACATATATTTTACATACAATATGTAAAATTATTATTACATCGCTATTTGAACCTAAATTTCCGTCAATAGTATTCTAAAAGACCAACGGGTTCTTTAGAAAACTGACTATGCTCACATTTTTTTATGATGATGATATTCGCAGATACGCAACATTTATTATCAATGGTGGTCAAGGCACATTGTTGTGAGTTTATAAATACACTAACTGGCTATACAGAAAGTTTATCTATTGATAATCATAATATACAATAAACACTCCGTGACTGTGATAGCGACGTCATAACAACACAATTAGTTACCTGTATTTGTAATCCCTAGTGTATTATACATGTATATAAACTCAAAAATTTGAAACTTTAAAGTTTTATATCTAATAAACGAAACATGTTATATTAAAAATTCAAAGACTATTAAATTAAAAACTCAAACATTTTATTAAATTCAAAATATTTGTTCCCATATAAAATTTAAAGGTTGATACCCTTATAAGGCATAAGGAATGAATTTAAAAAGTATTACATAGCTAATAATTCAAGGATAATACATAAATTAAGGTAACCAAAAAAAAAAAAATGTTTAAATTATTTTTATTCTATGAGTAATGGAGTGGGTTATGATAAAAAAATCTTTCTGTATATGATGTATATATTATTACATTAGATCGTATCATCGTCTAATCAGTGTTATCTTTTATACTTTTTTAAAAAACCCTTTTTATTAACAAATTTTTTAATTCAATCTCTTACAACTCTGATTTATGCGTACGCAAAGGTTTCTATTATAAGTAACCAATTAAAAATAATTATGCAGCATCTCAAGAATTTCACTAAAGATAGGGATCTTTAGTGAAATTTTCCAGGCTTATATTCTCCAGGATATAAAAACGCTATTTTCCTAAACACTTGATCAACATTTTACACACATTGAATCTGTATCAATATAAGTCATTATTATTGCTTAAGACTTAGTTTTTATTTTATATCTTACCCTAAATGGTGAACGTTGATTTAGATGATTTATATAATCTTTACTCATAGGAATGTAATAATATTTAAGTTGCTATATTATTGTACTCTTTACTAATAGACAGCCTTAAATATGTCAACTAGAATAAAGAAGCGTAATTGTAATTAAAATAAATTCCGGCCACCAGTCTTAAGACAATGCGCCAGCTTTTTAGTATTATGTAAGCAGTTCGTATAGAGAGTAATATTGATCACACAAAAGTGTGATTGAATCAAATAAAAATATATCTTGAAGTGTATTACATCTATTGACAAGCCAGCTCTAGAGCTAGTATTTTGGATTAAAGTCATTATTATAAATATTTAGATTATAAGAACTATTTATAAGAACTGTTATTCAAATTTTGGTCAAATATTATTAAAAAGTATATCAAAATAGTTTGATTTTTACTGTTAAATACAAATTTTTTAGTTTCAAATTTTAAGTCGAAAATTAATAGTGTGGATATCATAATTACCTTCATTATATGGTATATTTCTAGTAGGTCTCAAGTAAGCTTAAAATTAATTTTTTTTTTTATGCAGTTTGGCTTATATTTATGTATAATATAAGTAGAAAAAAAAATTCTTCACTAATCTTAAAACTTATCCTTTTTTTACAATTAATGAATAAGCTAAAATATACGAATTCTTGAAAATATAAATAAATGACGATTATCTTTACATATTTTTCAAATATATTTTTTTTATTAAACAATTCATTTTTTACTAAACATAATAAAATAAAAAAATAAATTTCATTTTTTTGGTAACATTAAAACTGATTTTCTACAACTTGTAGAAAATATTGTCTCGTCAGTGTTATGCAATTATTAAATTGCGTCATTAAAGCTATCTCTCTTTCTGTTGGATGATTTACCAAAAATAAGGATTCAACTTTGGTTTTTGCCAAATTATAATTTGAATTTTTATGCCACTTTTTGGGATTATCGTGTAAAAAGTCATCATTTTATTTAAGAGGTAAAAAATTTGTACAGTGTTTTCTGTGACAAATTGATTTATACCCTCATTACTTTTTACTGTGTTGATTTCAGTTCGTTTTTTGAATTGTGTTCTCCTTTTCTATTTGATGCTTGTACTATTTTAATTTTTACGTCTGTCGATAAATCATTGTCGAAAAATGATAATCCAACAATTATTTTATTGAAGTACCATAAATGGCCAGAAAAAGCTTTTATTAATATTATTATATTGTTTAGTTCTCGTAGTAGTGTGATGGTGTCACGTTACCATTATTGTGAGAATTATTTTAATAAAATACAGACAGCACATCCGCTTCCTGAGACTGATGAATTAATAATTAGTATTGATTGCCAAATTGGCAATAATTCTAATTATTATAAAAACCCAATAGACCTGACCATCGTGGTCAGTCAACTCCAGTGCCTTGTGTCATTCATCAGTCTCAGTACTCGGTTGTCGCTGTCCGGCTTACTGCTTAAAGTAAAGTCTTTGTTTATTCCTTTTTTTAAACCTATCTACTCTCTTCCACAACATTTCAGAGTACTTGTGTTTTGCACTTCGTCTGCACCTCGTGTTCTGTTATTTTTCCTCACCTGGTACGCCAAGTATTTGTGTCTAGCACTTCGTCTGCACCTCGTACTTCATTATCCTCTCCTAATAACTAAAGTACTTGTGTCTTGCACTTCGTCTGGACCTCATACTCGGCTACCCCGTTCTCTCTTTGAAGTACTTGAGTCTTACACTTTGTCTGCACCTCATGCTTTGGGGCTCCTTTTGTGTACACCTGGTATTCGTGTCTTGCACTTCGTCTGCACCTCATACCTAAGTGTTACCCTGATTCCCTTCCTATAACAACAGCCTTTCGACACCCACAGCTAACCCGGAGTGTCAGCCGAGCTCGGTGACTGCTCTACGACAACACGCACATGAATACTTAGACAACAGGCACCACATCATCATATTCATCTTCGCATCATAATTACATTTACACGAGTTTCATTTTATTTTATTGTGTTACGACAGTAGTTTAAGGTCATTATTTAGTGATTTTGTAAGATATAAACTTTCGAACTAATATCTTATATACATTTTTAAAACAAATGAATTGAAATACCGAATACTCTTTAATTCTGAAACTGTTCATTTAAATTGCGTACGAAATATCAATTTTAAGACAATATATTATTTTAGCCATCCGTGTTACTCTATGAATTGCTCTTATTTGCGGTGTTGCAATATGCGTTAGTAATAAGTTTTTGTCTAAAATTATTGATATACCTAACAACACTATTGACTTCAATCTACCGAAAACTGTTATAACCAGTGATAACAATGGACTAATTACTAACAGCACACTTATACCACAGACTAATGAAATTTTTGATATTTATGCCTATAATAATTTTTTTCAAGTTAACACACATTCAAATTTTATGGGCTCCATCATCGATTTAGTATTTACTTCTGCAAACTCAACAACAATCGATATTTGTGATGAATTATTAGTCCCTTTAGATAAATACCATCCAGCACTTTCGATACATAGTAATTATGGTGTTATTCGAGATTTAAACTACAATGTCGATTCGAACTGGTATTATGATTTCAAGACAGCTGACTATACTTCAATATGTTGGTCGTTAGGTCTCATTAATTGGAACAGCTTATTCGAAAATAAAAATGTTAATGAAATAGTAAACATATTCTATGACAAAATTTATAAATTAATTACCAAATATGTACCAAAAAAATACCCAAAAAGGTATAATTTCCCACAATGGTTTAGTAAAGATCTTAAAATGCTTATTCAAAAGAAAAAAGAGTTACATAATATATACAAGTCAACTAATAATCAATCTGACTATAATAATTTTTCACAATGCCGAGAAAAATGTAAACATTTATCTAGATCTTGTTATTTTAATTATTTAACCAAAACACAAAATTCATTAATTTATAATCTTAGATATTTCTGGAAATACGTCAAAAACAAACAAACGTCTAAACCAATATTAAACTCAATTACTTATAATAATCTCCATTCTGATAACATAAATGACATTCCTAATATCTTTAGTTCATATTTTGCATCTGTATACTTAAAACAAACACAACCAACATCAATGAATTTTGATAATAATAATAATAATAATTGTAATGTAAATGTGTCAAACGCAGATTCCTCATTAGGTGACATATTTCAAGCTCTTACTCAGGTTGGTAATAACCCTTCTCCTGGTCCTGATTTAATCCCTACTCTCTTTTTGCAACATTGCAGATATGCCTTATCAGTTCCTATATTTACTATCTCCCAAAGGTCAATATCATTAGGTGTCTTTCCCGACAAATGGAAATTAAACTATGTAACACCAATTTTCAAATCTGGTGATAAAGAATCTGTCACAAATTGTCGGCCTATTTCAAAAATAAGTGTAATTCTAAAACTACTCGAGAAAATAATAAATAATAAATTAACAACTATTTTTAAGCAAACTCTATCCTCTAATCAATATGGCTTCCGGTTACATCGATCAACTAGTACTAATTTTTTAGTTTTTTATTCAGATTTAATTTCTACAGTTGAGAATGGTGGCCAAGTCGATGTTATCTATACGGATCTTAAAAAAACTTTTGATACTGTGGATATCACAATATTATTATGTAAACTTAAATTACTGGGTATAAATGGTCCATTATTAAGTTGGTTTGAGTCCTATTTATCCAATAGACGACAACAGGTAAAAATTAATAATATTCTATCCGACTCTATTGAAGTTACCTCAGGTGTGCCTCAGGGAGGTCATATATCACCACTTCTATTTTTATTATTTGTAAATGATTTAGATAAAGTTTTTAAATATTTCAAATTTCTGCTGTTTGCTGATGATTTAAAATTATATAATCCAATTAGCACACTTAATAATTGTTTAGAGTTACAAGCAGACATAGATCGATTTTCGGATTGGTGTAGAATAAATAAATTAAACCTAAATGTTAATAAATGTCAACAAATATCATTCTCACGTCGTACTAACCCAATACTAAAAAATAAAATTGAATTATTTTTATTATATATATAATTATTTATTTTAAAAAATAAATAATTATTACTAATAATATTTCATCCTAATATGCACAAGTCGATTAGTCAGCTAGATCAACAAAACTTGTGCAATAATTCATAACAAAAATCTAAAGCATCAATATCTGTTGAGTCTCTATAAGAAAGTTTAAACGGTTAATTTNCAATAATTCATAACAAAAATCTAAAGCATCAATATCTGTTGAGTCTCTATAAGAAAGTTTAAACGGTTAATTTTAACAGTCTTTAAATAAATCAGAATCTTCACATTCTCCGACTTACCAATTCTACATAAAAAAATAAAATGATCTTAGAATCCAGTAAATTGACCTTGTTTTAAAGTCGCTAAAATCTGGTTGACTGAAACTAAAAAAAAATTGACCTTAAAATGTTTCTATCAGTTTTGAATGCTATCATTTTTACTTTCATAATTAAACATCGCGTCTTGGCCACTTTAGATTCCGACGGCGTGAGAGCTGTAAATAATTAGATCGGTTTGAAGTAGGACTGTATGGCTATTACAGAACATTTAATTTCTACTAATGCAATCCATGTTTTGATTACATTTGTATGATAGCAAGGCCCGACACTGTGTCTTGTCTTATGTTTTTCAGTCAAAATACTAAAGCAGATTACTGTGTCTTTGACACTTCCCACCACTTTAATGTATTGTCATGTGTTTATTATTAACATACATACCAGTTTTTGTTTGTTGAAATTGATATGGTAATCTCCAAACTTCTGTTCCGTCAAGTGTTGCACGCCAAATCCAATATCGTGCTAACGGCAGCAAACGGTTCTCGCATTCGAATTTATGAAAGGAAAATTCTCTATTTTAATGGTGAACGTTTTTAACACTTACTAATAATTATTAATATAATTTTCACGCTCAAATGGTAATCTGGTTTTTCAATGTGCCATTTAAATATGTTTGTTGACATGGCATACTAATTAATGCAATTTTAAAATTTCCAAACAAGGCGATAAAAAATCAATGCATTAATTTTTAGTAATTAATAAAATCAAAAAAAATTGTTATACTAAATTTATTAATTTAGACAGAAATATAGCAAAATATAAACAAATAAAATTTAGTAAGAATATAGTATTGTAAGTATACAAAAATCAAAATATTTTGTAAAAACAGATACTTTTCAAAACACTACATATTACAGAAAAATTAATAAAAGAAATTTTTTTTAGTATATAACACGTTCTTAAAAAATAATTCAATAAATATTTTTATTAATGTCAAATTTGACGAGTTATGTTAAAAACTGAATTTCATCCCTCATCTATCAATGTTCAACCACTTCGAGAGACAGGAAAAGGTAGACAGAAAAAACTCAAATTCACACACATATTTCTTAAGGTCATTAAAATAAAAATGGAGGATACTGATTTTTTTAAATAATTTTCTTCTCTATAGATAAGGACTATTTTAATATAAAATATTATGGCCCTTCTAAAATTTCATAATATACTTTTGATTCAAGTACGATTTAAAACCAAGAATTTTTTAAAATTACGCTAGTGTTAATAAACAATGTTACATTTATGTGGGTCTTAGTACATTATGTTGGCCAACATAAAATAAAGTATGAAAAATTTTAATCAATGTCGTTAACGGTATCGAAATTGAAATATCTAAAATAAAATATCGATATGCGATAGAAAATAGAAACCGGTAAAGTGAAATATACATAATAAAAATCGAAATCAAAATTGTTCAAATGAATTATCGATAATAGAAATCAAAATTTGATACGTGGCAATATCATTTTTAATAATATGATTAAATATTTGATTTGTAATGTTACGTCCTATGTTTAAATATTATATTCATATGTAATTAAATTTATAATTATGATAAAAAACTGTATTTTCACCGAAGTTTTCTTAGTTAAAATATTTTTTTCAATGCTTTAAAGCAAATATTTTTATAAGAAATTCATATTTAGAAATTTCCAAGATAAAACACTACAATCTGTATTTGTGATTTTATCATTTTTTTCTCTGTAAAATGTATGGAATATAATTTCATAAAGCTTAAAATGAATTATAAAAACATTTAACCGATACCACTGACGATCGATTGGATATTGAAATTGGAATATCTAAATTTAATTATCGTAAAGCGATTCAGAATATATTTCAGTAAAATGGAATAAAGATAATCAAAATCGAATGCAAAATAGTTCAAAGAAATATTAATAAGCGAAATCAAAATTTGATACGTGGCAATATCATTTCTCATAACTCCTAAAATAATTAAGTTTTTGTTTTGTAATATTATGTTCTACTTTTAATATGATAGTCACACGTAATTAAATTTATAATTATGATTAAAAACTATAATTTATTGAAGTTTTCTCAAATAAAATTTTATTTAAAAATTTTTTTCTATGCTTCAAAAAAAATTTCAATTCTTCAAAGAAGAAATCGGTAAAGAGTAATATAGATAAAAAAAAATAAAAATCAAAATTGTTCAAATAAAATATCAATTAGCGAAATCGAGGTTTATTGCGTGACAATATACGTAATATGTGTGATAATATAATTTCTAATAATTATTAAAGTGATTAAGTTTTTGTCTTATAATATTATGTCCTCTATTTAAATATAATATTCAAACGTAATTAAATTTATAATTATGATTAAAAACGAAAATTTAATGAGGTTTTCTTAAATGAAATTTTAGATATTTCTTTTCAATGCGTTAAAGCAAATGTTTTAATTAGAAATTTCTAAATGACAACACTTCAATCTATATTTGTGATATTATCATTTTTTTCCGTAAAATGTATGGAAAATAATTTCATAAAACCTAGATGATAATAATATATTAGATGAAAAAATCTTAAGTAATATTATTTTGTGGTTATAAATTAAATTAATATTTATTTACCTTTGAGAACAAATTTTTGCCGGGTCCTGCTGTAATCAGTATGATATTGTGGTATAACCATAAAATTTTGAAAATATTTAATAAAAACATCTTATATAATCAACTAAAACAATTCAAATCACGTAAAGTCTTAAAATATAATTTTTAGTTGAAATTTTCATTTAAATATTGTAATATACCAAAACTAAAATTAATAATAAAAATATTTTCCTAGGAATATTAGAATGGGATGGATGATGTTAAATATTTATTTAAGTTTTACTATTTGTATTAATGTTTTATTACGCAATAGATTATTGTAGGTTCGAAAGCATAGGTTAAATTGTACTTACCTTATGTCTTATACTACGCAATAATAATTTAAGTAATCCAACATTGATTCTAGTATTAAATGCACTACGTATACGTTTCATGCAACGCGTCATTAGGTCGATATAATTATTTACGAAAGCTATTCAAATTTTAAATAATACGATTTAATTACACAAAATCTATGAGTGATTATACTTGTAAAAAATTCTTAACACTCTATATTAATATTAGGAATATAATTTTGCGTTCGTGTCTTTATTTTATTTTTATCTTTGTTGAATAAGTATATTTTTGAGCAAGTATATTTTATTAAATGATCGACACCAATATTTCTTAAATCTTCCTCTGGCCTGGCCAAAACAAAAGTCAGAAATAATTATACCTATGTAAAAATTTATCAAGGCGGAATTGTGGTGACCCAATGTGTCCCGTCGCTAGCGCCTTGAAAGAATGCGGCACAATAATAATCACCAAGACAAAACTTAAACACTAAAAATATATTCGTAAGTTTCTTTACGCTGTTTGCCAGCGCGATGTTCGTTAAATCAAAGACATTAAGCTCAGTGACCAGCTACCTAATAAGAAGAGTTCACAATAAGTTTTTTTATATTATTTATATTACTATTAAATAAAAATTTTAAGTTTGGTTTAGAGAAGGATTTAAAAAAAGAAAATAATAAAATTAAACGATGAAGCTAATTTAATTATTTTATCAATTAAAAAAAAAACTAAGCATTATATTATATTACGAGTAGTCATTAAAAAAAAATATTCTTATTAACCTTGTCTAAATAATTATTTAGAGAAAACAAAATGTATACTTAAAAACATAATTTTATATCAAATGATCGTTGAGTTATTGACAGTTGTACATCAAAATCACGTGATTAAATAATCACTTTACCATATTGAGATGGTCGTTGCCCGCACCTTACTAAATAGGGAAAGATGATTTTTGAAGGGTAAAAGAAATGAAGACACGAGTCTGTTAAAAAAAGATTATTATTGGATTAAATTTAAGGAGAATTTATTTTAAAAAAAAGTTTAAGTTAATACGAGGCAAATAACCGAATGGTCAGAAAACCTTGTCTGCAAATTAATGCACAGAAAAAAAAAATTAAGACATTAACAAAAAATAATTACGCATACGACTTTTTATGAGAAAAATGCGACAAGCGCTTCTATGCGATCGACTAATGTTAAATATGATATACCACTATTCTAGCCGACCGTATGCTCCAAGCTGATGAACTATTTGTTTGTAGTTTGGTCATTACTTATAAGGCATTTGGACACCATGTGTTAAAGAGCGTACCACTATTTATATTACATTGCCAGTAGAATATTTACAATCAATAAATAATTAAATAATAAATAAAATAATAAAACGGTAGGGACGGTCTTGGAACACGTCCCTCACCGTTAGGTATCTAAACGTTCTCTAAAACTCATAAACATTACAGGTGGTTTGGTAATACGCCTGACATGTTGAGGGCCTTAAAAAAATAGGGACATTTAAAAAAAATATATAAAAACAAAAACAAAGCGCAACGCGCGCATATAGAACGGCGCACTAAGAATAATATATAAGAAAAAATTCAGACTCAATACATTAACACAAATTATACGTTACCAGTCTCTAAGGACTCAGAAGCGGAGGCAGATTCAGCCAATACCATAATTATAAAAAAAAACCCAGCATAGTGGGGTCGCGGCACAGTGGAGATGTTGCATAGTTGGGTCCAGTATAGATTTAATCTGACAGTGATTAAAATCACTATCATAAGAAACGTTTCAATGCAAATCTGTAGATAGTGTTTAATTCTAAAAAATTGATGGATAATTACAAAAGCAACATCAACTTCTATTTCCTTAATTATACCCAGATTAGTAATTCTTTTAATTATATATTATATAATTTTTAAAATTAATTGTTATCAAATTATTATTGATTTTGATTTTTAATATGTTAAAAGTAATCATTTTGAACCTATTTTTTTTTGTCCTTTAAAGTGAAAGTTTTAATGAAAAAAAATGAAATTTGTTACCATAACTTATAGTTCAACTTGCAAGTTTGAAATTGACATTATTAAATAGAAAAAAATGAAATTTTTAAGATTAATATTCAATCAGGAAATTTTATAATTACTATTTACAGTACATTTATCAGAAAAATTCGACTTTTTTGCATTTTTATCGTAATAGATAACTGAAAAAGAAATAATAGTAATCATTTCCTAATAACTTTTGGTGTTTCAAAAGATTCTGCAATTGAAATATTCGAAACTTAATTAATTTTAATGATTATATAACTAAAAAACCAATAAAAAAAAAGTTGTTAAAAAGATTTACTCAATTGAGCGTATTATAAAATTTCATTATAATTGTAAAAATCCATCGTTAAATTCAACGAAAAATCATTTTTTTTTTTAATTTATGATTTATATAGCAACATGTTACAAAAAATTTGGAATATTATAGACTGATAGTAGCACACACAAATGCAATTAAAAAGTTAATAAACGACAAAGTAAAATTATTTACTTTTGTAGCTGAATACTTTTATCATATCAAATCTAATTCGACAATAAATACTTTAAGAATATTAGAAATTAATGATTTTAATTGTTTGTATGGAAAAAGCTAGTTAAGCTACTTTTTATTTGAATAAGGAATATTTTTTCGATTTTTAAGAGTAATAACTTAAACTAAATATGAAATGTAATCATTTGACGTATCGTTGAAAAAAGTAGGTCTAGTGAGGGTTGGCAAAATAAATCGTAGCCACAAAAAAAACTACATAGTAAAATAATATTAACATGAGTATAAATTTCTTCTTACGTGGGTAAACTATAGTGANGTATAAATTTCTTCTTACGTGGGGAAACTATAGTGATGGGATCCTTGATATTTGTTGAAGTTATTGAATCTTAATGAGACAAAAATGAAATGATTTAAAAATTTTTTTCTAACTAAAAAAAAATGCAAAATATTAGTGTTTGTGAAAAAGATGCTATTTTAAATCCCATCCCCAATGAGCAGGTTAAGTGTTAGATTTTCAAAAAAATGATATCAAATGAAAGGGAAATATCTAAGGTTTTAGTATAAAAAAAATTATGTTGATTTGTTTATTTTTGAAAAAGTTATGGAAGTAAAAATTTAAAACTTAGTAAAAATTACTCTTAAAAATATTTAATGCCGTCGTAATACGCATTCGGCTCAACCACAATAATTAAAAAAAATATATATGTATATATATATACAAATATACACAAAAATGAAGATGTACTTTTTTGTCACGTTACATATAATAAATGTATGTTATTCTTTGAAACTACATGAAAGTTTTTTTATACATTTAGACTTTAAATAACTTGTATTTTGTTCAATAATTATAATAAATTTTATTTAGTAAGATTGTATGAAAAAAATTCAGTTCGATGGAATGAAAAAAAAACTGTAATACAGTGGGGATGCTGCATACTTAGGACAAGTATAGATAATATCTGACAGTAATTAAAATTATTGTATATAGTATTTAATTTTAAGAAGAAATTGTTGGATTATCCCAAAAACATCATTAATAAACCATTGGTGGCTAGAACATTTATTTTTAGAAAATACAGACCCTTCCTTTTAATAAACGTATTTGATGAACATAAAAAGCTGCACAAAATCATACATGATAATATTTCTAATTAACGTTTTGTTAATAAAAATGTTATACTATAAAATTTTCATGTCAATAATTAAAATTTGTTCTTACTGATTGTGTATTCGGATTAACTAACAAAATTTTAAAATGCATATAATTTACAGCCCTACCTATAACCAATATTTAGCATGAAACGATTTTGTTTTCTTCTGTACTTTTCTCAATACATGTTTCAATGTATGATAACATAAAAACAACACAAGAAAATTCAAATTTTCACAAACTTTATAATATTACAGCTAATTTAATACTGAACGTTAATAAGATTATTTTGTACCAATTTTTATTCTTAAATTCTACACACAAAATGTTTATAAGGAAATTTTTTTTACATTTTTTGTAAACTAAATAAAAATTATTATATTTAATAAATAAAAATATATTATTTGTTATAAAATGTTTATAGTCTTAACGAATAACAGTTATTAAAAAAAAGAAGTAACGCCAAATATTGTTTGAATAAAAAGTTATTAAAGTTGATGTTGGTGTGGAAATTCATTAGCGAATTTTTGTAAATTGCCGTTTTCTTAATTATTTAATTTTCTATTAAGTAAGCTAGTTAAATATGTATGTTTTTCTATTTAATAAAGTAAAGTTGATATCCTTATGAGATATATCTTATTTAAGGAATGATTCTCGTAGGGGAATCCGCAAGGATCAAATATCAATCCTAACAACCCTGCGGACTATAGTAAATTTAGTGGTATGTGTTGCCACGTACCACTGCTCTTAGTCGGTCATGATTTTGGTTAGTTGGAACCGGTAGGCCTGGACACACCTGCTTTCTAACAGTGAATAGGCCCTCTATCACAGCTATACCAAATGGAAGTGTTGCTGACCATTGGGATTTATATGGCACATGGCGCACCATAGAGTATACAGCTTTATCACAGTATCGAGCTCTGCTGTGATGGACTTTTAATTCTCGACTACTCGTGGAATCTATATGGATAAATACATACAAACACTACAAAATAACAAATTGAGACGATCAGGGATTCTACGGACAACCTGTCGGAACAAGAGCATAAATTAGCGACACTTCGCAGAAAAATCGCTGATCTTAAAGGCCTCAATGCAAACAACGGGACACTTGGTGAACCGTTTTCTAGCAAAGAGACAGCAACGTCAACAAATGCAGACCAGGAATCGCAAGATCA